AACGTCATCTATAACTTCATTCATCGGGCATACAAAATCTCTTCCGATATCAATATTTTCAATACAGAACTGATTCGCATAAAGCAGTTTCTCATCAACAACAACTATTCCAACCAATTAATAGATAATACCATAAAACATTATATCAACAAAACAAATAATCCTATAACTCCAACCTCGACAAAAACAATTATACCTCTATATTATCTCAATCAAATGCATGACAACTACAAAGTTGATGAATCAATGCTCAAACGTATCATCAAATCCAATGTCTCCGTTCCCAACGAAAGCTACCGACTGAAGTTCATAATTTATTACAACACCAACCGAACATCCAGCTTTATCGTTAAAAATAACAACACACGTCCCCCCAACAAACTAGAGAGAACCAATCTCGTATACCGATTTTCTTGTCCCGTGCCACACTGTGTTGTGGAGAGTTATATCGGCCATACGAGAACTACTCTCTCTAGAAGACTCACCATGCATACACAGAATGGTGCCATTAAGGACCATATGGAACGGGTACATCATCAACCGCTTACGAGGAACATATTGGATCCCAACACAACGATCCTTGATTATGAACCCGATCCAGTTCGCCTTAAAATTAAAGAAGCCCTTCATATCAACAAGCATAAACCCTCACTCAATAAACAACATAACAGCTTTGATCACACTTTGCAATTGTTTTCTCAATATCACGATCTCACACCTACTGTTGCCGTTGGGGTTGATCCACAGGATCTGCGTGTACCACAACGATATGAATATCATCCTACGTTGAATACATTTCAACCCATCAACACGCAGTTTGTGACCCAGCGTCATCCGACAACCGTCATTGCGTCGTTGGATGTATTATGTGATACCTAATACTTGATCTATACATCGATATGTATCTTGCATGTACATATATGTATTTATATTTAACTATGTATCCGTAGGTCTGACGTGGAAACTCGTATCACACATATTCAACCGCAATAGTTGTATTCACAACGCATACACAGCAATATTATATATCTGGCGCACATGTCATTCGTAATTAGTTTTCACTAACGTTTCTCAACCATGTTAAAACTTTTATAAAATTTCTATATTTAAATTATTTTACTAAACATTTTATTTAAATTACATTATTTTATTTATATAATCTACATAAACTTTAGTTATTATGATATTTACAACAAGGTTAATTTATTTCACAATTTAATACATATTTTATTTTCTATATTTTCACATTTTACATTAGGCATTTACTTTAATTAAATTATATGTTTAAACAATATTTAGGCTCTGAAGATGGCATTACGCCGAAACAGCGCTGTTAGCTTTATTCCAGTTTTAGATAAATATGAACTCAAACAATACCGCCTCGTTGAATGTCTTATAAAGAAGTTAATTAATGCAAAATGGGCAAACAATTTCAATATATATATATATATATATATATATATATAATATTATTTTTTTATTATTAAAGAAAAATTTATAAAGTCCTAATTAAAAGTTAAGATTCGCAAAAGCGCTATCTACTGGAAAAAAGCAAAGTGTAAATGAAACGGCATCGCATACAAAAAAAAAATAAAAAATGCAACAATGATTATAACAAAAATAAATGAGTTTTCAAGTTCTTCTTGAAAGCTTCAAATTTCATCCCTGATATTCTCATCGATTTCGGCAGACTGTTCCATGCAACTGGTCTTGATACTGCAACTGAGTATCAGGAACAACCAACATAATATCATCGTCTGATCTCAGGTTCATACCACTCATCATTACTAATTTAATTTCGATTTTCTTCACTAAATAATCTGGGAGCAAACCATGTATAGCTTTATACATTAAAACACACAGTTTATAAACAATTACTTTGTTACTGTAAGCCAATGGAGTTTTTTTTTAAATTGGTGTCACATGATTGTATCTTGAACTACCTACAATAAGTTTGGCTGCTCTATTTTGAATAGACCGGAGAGAAGCAATAGATTTTTTTGACAATCCACGAAACAAACCGTTGCAGTAATCCAGTCTCGAGTGCACAAATGCATGTATTTAAGATTGCGTCGTCGACTGATCCAATGATTTGCGTATCTTTTTCAATTGCTGCAGTTGGAAGGAACACGATTTAGTCAACACAATCGAATGCTGCACTTATATCCAAAAATGTTACCAGAGCAACGTGTTGTTTGTCAATCGCAGCAAACAATTCCAATAATACATACATCAAGGCAGTTTCTGTTGAGTGCTGACGTCTGTATCCAGACTCATATACTGGCAACAATTTGTGTTTATCCAAATGGTTGCGAAGTTCTGTTGCCACAAAGCGTTCCTTAATCTTTGAGATATAACATGTTTTTGTTTTAAGTTGATTTGTGAAAAATCGAAATAAGGCCTATCTGCATGATGAATTTGAATAACAACAGTTTCATTAAATTTTCATGATGAACTTGGATAATTATTCTATTTTCATAAAACTGAACAATTTCCAGATAATTCTTGTAAGGAAAATTGGAAAGACAAACTTTAAATTGATCAATGCCAACAATTTGGTAGAATTCATTCAATAATGTATAAAATATGGTTCCTTCCAACATACATTATATATATATATATATATATAGAGAGAGAGAGAGAGAGAGAGAGAGAGAGGGAGAGAGAGAGAGAGAAAGTGAAAATAAATGAAAGTAAATGATGTAGCTCCACAGGGTAGTGTACTGGGGCCAACCTTGTATTTAATTTATGTAAATGATTTGTTAGATTTATACTGTGCTGGAATTAGCTTAGATATGATGATGCCAAGATGTTTAAGTTTGTAGGGTCTGAGGAGTGTTGAAATGAGGTGTAAATTTGTTGAAAGAATGATGTGGAATAAACGATGGTCTCCGTGGACTCGTGGACTCTTCGTGAGATTGAAGCAATCGAAAGAGTTCAAAATAGGAAGTCAAGATGGTTAGTGAATGTTCTCAGATGAAATATGAACTGAACTACTGAACTGAACCACCAACATTTGATCATGTTATTCAATGTGATGCACAGAGAAGATAGAAGAGGGCTTCCGGAAATACCAAAAGCGCATCATCGTATAAAAGGTCATAGTCTGAGAATCAATTCTACTATTTGGCTGCAATTTTAAAAAAATTATTCGTATATTAGAACGTTAAACATTTGGAACGGTTTAAATAAGAATGTGGTTAACGCTTTTATAACGTAGAGGCCAATATGTTTTATCCTAAGTGTATGATGTACAATGTACATCTTATAAATATATATATAGTTTACTTATATAATTATAAAATTATATTTTAGATATTCACAAATATACATATGAATCGCAGTTGTAACAGTTTCACAGAAACATTTTTGCTAAACATCAATATTATTAAATTTTATAGAGCAAAAAATTTGCTATAGTCCAAAAAGAAGAAAAGGAGTTACTGGAAACTCAATCACTACCTCTGAGACATTATTTGTTTCAGCAGGTTATGCCCACGCTACTCAATGGACTTACAGAATGTTGTAAAATTATGCCCGAAGATCCCCTTGATTATTTGGTATATTTACTTTTATAAATAAAATAGATTTCCAAAATTTGATTTTATGAGATAAAAACGTTTTATATTTAAGAATCCATTTCATATTTTTGGTTTATTCATTACAAAAATTTCAATTATTTTGATGAGCTTTTAATAATATCTTATATTCAATTGGTTTTTCAATTTTTCATTTCATTTTTATTACTTAAATATATTATTTTTATTTAAATACTGCTTTTTTTTACGAGCCGATTTGTCGAAAAAAATTTCATGGTTCAATTCCATTTGCGGACTTCTCAACCGAACTAAGATATTTTTTAAAGTGATTTTTCAGCTAACGTTTGCTAGTGTAGCTGCTATAACATGGTTCAAACGTTTTTGACGCTATGCTTATGCAGACCGGTTTAGAAATATTCAGCATTTCGAAACGCGATAACAAAAGTGGTCGCAATCATCTGGCTGGTTGTAATAATATTGAACCAAAATATTCATTATTTATCCATTGTCATCTTTCATTAAACTTTTAGTTTAGAACATATCCTATAATAATTGGTTGATTAGGCTACATGATGCAATTTTTTATAAATCGGAAAAAATTAGAGATGGAAATTGAAACTTTCTTTTATAGTTTGGATTCGGTTCGTTTAGATCTATGTTTAATTTAAATTTTTTCCTTATTGTTCGAGTTCAGGTTCAGCTTTCTGAAATTGGGCGATAGCATACCAAAATAATAACAATGCGAGTGTTTATTTATTAGTTGGGACACTTGATCAGAAGCTTTACATTAACAATGATACAGCAAAAACAATTTTCGATTCTAATTCAAATCACAAAATGCCACAACCTAAGGGTAGAAAACATCGTGGCAGTTAATAATTCAGATAATGGTTGAACACCGGTAATGGTAGCTCAAGTAGCCTACTTTCAATCTAGTAATCAAGTTTATTTCGAATGTTTCATGGTTCTCTCCAGGCTTCTGATCACTCAATATCATTCCAAACATTGAAAACGTCCCTCTACTAATACCATTGGTGATAATATGGCCAACATTTTTCCATAGCTTATTTTCAAAATCGTTCCCTTTCAACAAGCAAATGCATTTTAGCTAGCAGGGCGTCGAAGTGAAAATTTTTCAGCCGTCTTAACCCATTTACGCCTAAAACAAAGCTACTGAATGAAAAACATCAAATTGTGCAAAATTGTAAAATATGAAGTATATTTAATATGTTTATTCAAAAAAAATTAAAAAAATTTATTTAAGTATAACGTTATAAAGGCGTCCTCAAATAGGGACGTTAGGCAGATGCGAGATGATACTTTTCGAAACACCCCTTTTCGATGCATAGTGTTTTGCCACATTTTTTACACATCCATCTAGCTTTCATGTGGCAAAAAGTACACTTTAGTTGTTTTTCCAATTTTCCAGGGAAGTGAAATCCTACTGTGGTTTCAATACTGGATCCGGTTTTTCTCTTTCTACTGGCTCTACTCGCCGCACCGTCTCTCAAATAGCCACGTACTATATGGCGACGAAACTCGAGTTGGTCCATTACATTCTCAGAAGTTATTTGCTGAATTTTCCAAGCATTGGTCATTGCCATGTCTAAAAAGTACGTAAATAAAACCCACCACCACTTTTTCCCTTTTACGCTTATTCGATATAGGGATAAGCATTGATCATGGTTATCTACTCCTTCCATTCCAGAATTGTAAGATGCGAACAATTTCGGCTGAAGAATGTTTTCTTTAGATTTGGTTGTTCTTGACCATCTCTTTACATTGTTCAGTGGTTTGATTGAATCCCAGTTAGACAACATGCTACAAGCACTGTTGTCATACCATTTTACACATAAAATGCCATTTGCTTTATCAAATTTGAAGTCATAAGACCCTCTTGTCATTTTCTTAATTTCTTTTGATTCCATCAATGGACATTTCTGCGTTCGATTTTCTCTGACTGTCCCTGTGGCATTTATATGTTTTTTCTTTAGGTACACCATCAATGCGTAACTAGTGAAATAATTATCGAAATAGATATTATTTCTTGATGGTTCTGGTAAATGTTTTAGAAGGTCCAACACAACTTTAGCTCCTAGTGGTAATGCTTTGGTGTCTTCAGTTTCATTTGGTTTTTTTCCACAATAAACATCGAAACCATAGCAGTATCCACTGGAGCTAGCTATCATCCAGTTTTTATACCCGAATCTCACGGGCTTACCTTTAATGAACTGTTTTGCTGGAAGATGTCCATAATATTTTACCATAGATTCGTCAATGGAAATGTCTTTATGAAAACATCCCCATTGACAAAAGTTTTCTTGCAACTTGTCTGACAACGGTCTAATTTTATACATGCGGTCTTTAGAATCTGCAATTTTGGAATTATCAGCCAAATGAAGAAATCTCTTTATTTCCAGATACCTGTCTCGACTCATAGCATTATAAACACATGAGACTCCGAGATCTTCATCTAGTGACCAATATAAACGCTCTCTTGGCAATGGATTGTATCCAGTAAAATATAAGATTGCTAAAAAAGTTCGTAGTTCCTCTGGTTCTTAAGTTGAGTGGTTATTTTTTTGTCGTGCATAAATGATGGATTGATGGCATATGTAATTAGTAATATTCATGGAAAGAAATTTTTCAAAAATTTGTCTTGAAGACAAATCTTTAAGGTTTTCTTTGATTTTTTGTAGGTCTTCATCAAACGAATTACTTGTACTAGGTGATGCTGACGAAAAATCTGATTTTGTCCATTTGGGTTTTTCGAATGTAGTATATTGTTTATATAAACCTTCAGATATTTGATCAGGTTCGTTTTCGTTATCCGGTTCGTTATTCAAATCAACAGATATTTGTATAGTTCCTGAAATGTCTTTTGGAACATAATGAGGATCAATTATATTGTCATCATCAATTTCTTCGGCATCTGTCAATTCGTCCAAATCTGGAGGAAGGACACACAAATCAACACTGCCAACTGTTTCAAAATTATCACTTTCTATCTCTTCCAAGGCTTCTTCTAATTTTTGAAAAGTTTTAGTGCCATAAAAGGATTTAGGATCCATGTTTTTCACGTCTGAGGTAAAATCAAAAAGTTTACCATAATAAATTCATTTGTGCCTAACGTCCTCGTACGAGGACAGTAAGATGTTTGTGTTTGTAAATTACTTTATATCAAATTAATATTCAAAATAATGTTACTAACATAAAGATTAATCCAAAGACTTCTTGTTTTTAAAATAAAATTAAAAAATTTTAAAATTTTTTTAACAGAAAAAAAATTTGCAAAAGTAGCTCTGTCACTATGAAAAAATCGCCAACTTCTAAGCTTCGTCACATCAAACACATGCACAAAAATGTCTAAATTACACTCACTACTAGTTAAATGGTATGCATTACCAGGATGTAGCAAGATAATTACCTTTAAAACACCTCCCATTTTAATTGATGCCAAATTCAAGAGGCGTACTCAAATGAGTACGGCCGGCATTAATGGGTTAAACAAAAAAAATATTATTTTTCTAAAAATGATTTTTTTGAGCCTGTGATTTTTAAAATGTAATGATTCACAATGATCTATATTTGTGATAACAAATGTTGCAAAAACATGTCATGCAAATATTTTAAATTTTTAAAAGTTGATACGCGTTTTAATATATGCAGTGTTACTGTCAAAGCTGAAAAATTTACAGTTTTGTTTGTTACTTTAGTGAAAAAATTTATTTATATACGAAAGTCTTATAAACGGATACTAATATTTTTAAAATTTTTTTTGTTTGCTTGCTTGCTTGTTTGTTATTGATATTTAAATAAAAATATATTGTTTTTTTTTAATTTAGGCTGGAAAGTTGTTTTCAAATTTTGAATCAATTTTAAAACCGAGTAGAGTATTTTTGAATATTTTCATAACACACAGCTGGGTTTATTTGTTATATATGTAATGTATACAAATTACTTTAAAAATTTGGGTAGTATTAAGCAAAGATTTCTTGAAAAGAACCCTCACATTTCTAATTGAACAAGCTGCAAAACAGATGCAATATCTTTGGGCTGTTGTTGTGATAGCCTTAATTGTTTTAATATTGATTTCTTATATTTTTATCATCTTCTACTAAGAAGTAAATTTTATTCAATAGTTTCCATTTTTGATAATTTCACTAAAGCTTTAATTTTTTCTACAAACTATCATTTCCACGATACTGCCTGGGTTGAAATAAAATCATAAAGATGTTTTATTTAGTATAATGTATTTTACAATGACAGAAGATGTTGGAATGTTTCTGTTCTTAGAGCTCTTATAACATTTTGCAATTTTGAGATACACCAGAAAAAAAAGTTATTTTTTGTACAACTATGAACAATAAAAAAAATTATATAACGGTTTTTTAGTATTTTTTATAACGTAAATTTAAAATTAAAAATGGAAACATTTCACTACGGAAAAGAATTATATTAACTTATATCACGTTTTCAAAAGAATCATTTTTCAATGTACTATAGAGTCAATCAATCAATCTTCGTTTTGCGTCCAGAAACCCGGTTTCCCGAAGTAAGGAGTATTGAACTTAATTATAATTGTACAGCAAAGGTGCAACGAATGGGATTCGGATTCGGGTGTCGGTTGCATTTTCGGACTGTGACATCCTGATAGCAAGAGGCAACGTTTTGTATTTTCAGGCTCATGTCACTGTCTGAAAGTTTCAACTGCATTTAGTTAAGGTTGGGACTGCTGATTTGAGTTGTATCCAGCGAGTAAGGTTCAGTTTGAGTTTGGTTTGTTTTTAATCTCTAGAATAACAAGAATATCTTCTAACAAGAATATCTTACAAGAATATCTTCTAACAAGAATATCTTACAACCGGTCTCAACAATTCAATTTAATACAGGCATATTTCATGAATGAGCACTTACATTTGTTTTTTTAAACGTTTATTTATATTTAATAAACAGCTTTCTTGCATTTACAGGCTGATTATTTGTTGAAATTCAACCCTGTTGTCGACTGATCTATGATAAATCTGACAAGAGAGATAATTTTGAATTAAAATAATATTTTTCTACAACTTTAATTGTTTTTGTTGTTGTTTATTAAAAAGATATGAATGGAGTGTGCTTACACGTTTAAATTTTAATTTTGAATAACCTACAAAAATTTATTAGATAAATGCATATTTATTAATTACTTTGTAAGGTTATATTATGTGCAATGGTTGTAGGCATTAGTTATAAGCATCGTTGGTATACATTATACGTATATGAATTGGTTATAAGCAATGGTTATTTGAATCGGTTACTGTATATATGCATTGGTCCAAATACTGTAAAGGATTAATGGCATCATAATGAAATCGCTTCATCATGTAATCTGATACGTGATAGGCTTGAATATTTTGTCATATTCGAACCCGATCACTGCACGTACTGCGAAACAACACCAGGCGCCCTGAAACACTAGGCCATCACACCGCTCTAACAGACATTGTGATGAAAATATAACATTTTGGCATTTGGTCCGCTGACGCCCAAACGAGTCAGGACAAAACACCTATTTGCGCTGAAAAAATTTCTTAACAAATGGCTTAATCAACATAGTGAGCATTTGGAAATTGGATTAAATACAATAAAAATCGATTCCTGAAAATTATAAAACGATTAAAATTTCGGTAGACTAAATTTTTGAAAGCGTTTTATTATTTTTGCACTAGCAACCGCTTATTTTATTATTTATAAAGATGTTAATGTATTAAATTTTACCAAAAAATTTAAAGTTTCAGTCTTCATCTATTTAGGTAAAATTTGAATAGAGACTTTACCCCCACACGGCGGTTTACCTCATGCTACCCTACATGCTTTTGATGGCGAAGATAGCACTGATTTTATTTGGGATCGGAATGAAATAATGAAAACGGTGATCGGTGAATTTTTTAAGTTCGGTCATCTTTGACGATTTTGAAACTACGTAGGTAGTCCTGTGTCGAGAAGGAGTCGACAACGTGCCTACTATTTTTTCACCCATTAAAAGTAAATGTTCCAAAGTTTTTGAAATGGCCTAACTTTTTTCAATAACTTTAAATGAGATCTTCGTCAACGGTGATCTGCTCATTTTGAAAAAAAGGTTTCCCGTTCCTTCTGCAAAAGTTTGGAATGACCAGCCCTTCAAACTGAAGAGTAGCATCAAGTTTAGTTGTGATGAATTTAAGAGGCAGCTTGAACACTATTTCTTCAGCAACCCATAGTCAAGAAAGCTACAGTAGTAGGTATACTTTAGCAAAGAATTTAATTTTAATTATAAAAAGAGCTCTACCATTATTTACTACGTTCGAGGCTTTTGCTATCAGATTAACAATTGGTGGGAGTATACTCATTTTGTTTGCCACATTCAGACTAGGCTCAAATATTAATCTGTCTCTTATTATGAGGAATTGAATAACGAATATTTTGTTGATGGGCGGTTTCAATGTGCGAGAAAGTACTGTTGATCTTAAATCCATTCGCGGATACTTTTTTGGATACTTCGTGAATACGTGAATTTTTGATGTTTCATCTAGTTAATCATTACAACGAACCAACTCATAGGCGGTACATTGGATGTGATCGTTATTTCTCATGACTTTCCTGTTCTCAATACGAAAATCTTCCTTACTGTAATAATCGTAGTTAAAGTTTTATAAAAGTTGAAATAATGATTGATTAAACAAGCCGAAATGGCTAAAAAATTTTTTTAAACTTTAGCATCATAACTTCACCTTATATCACTCACTAATAAAGTTTTTCAATAACATTGTTATAACTGGCCGGGTGGACGACAAGTTTGTTTAATTCCCGTGAAAAATTTAGACAATATAACTTTCAAATTACCAATTTAATTATTTACAAAATAATAGTTAACAACGCTAATTAATTTTACTAATAAAAGTTATTGTTCACAAACTATCAAATTATGTTCAAAAGCTATCGCTTTCTGAATAACAATTCACTAACGTTTATCGTAAATACAATGAAAATGCCATGGATATAAATATATATATATATATATCCATGGAAAATACACGAGAAAGATTTCATCACTCACGAAAAACTTGGCTTAAAAATTATGCACAAAAAACAGTGAAAAAAGAGAGAGTGATTAAAAAATTAGAAAAAAATCGATTAAAAAAACTGTCCAATTGTACAAAATTCATTTCAACCATGAATGTAGTATTTAATTACCTACCCATCGATTGATGTGCAGAAGTCCCTTAAAGAACGCCGCCCGGGTACTCAATCTGGAAATAACCCAGTTTCAATATGCAAAAAAAATTCAATTAAAAAATTGTCCCATTGTACAAAAATCCATTTCAACCATGAATGTAGTTTTTAATTACCTATCGATTGATGTGCATATGGTCCCTTAAAAAACGCTGCACGGGTACTTAATCTTGGAAAGACGGATAAATAATCTTCAGTGCATGTTTGGTTTACATATATATATATATATATATATATATATATATATATATGTATATATATATATATATATATATATATATATATACAAGGGGAGGCTTATTTACCAATATGCAACACTTTCTTATGGATTGAAGCAAGGATATACAAAAAATCTCAATTTTTTTCAACTTTTAACTATTTTCGGTAATGTCGATTTTACTTTTTTTAAATTTATACTAAATAAAAGTAATTAATTGCCACATTGAATTAAAATTTTAAAAAAATTAAAATTTTAACTTTAAATTAAAATTCCGTAAGTAGTAAATACACGATCGTAACTATTGTTTTGACTGGTTTTGACATGGATATAAATATATATATACCCATGGATTTTGACCAGTTTTGACTCGATAAAAAATCACCCTTCAACTCTCCTCCGGAAGTAAACTCCTTGTTCGACCGTTGAAAGTGAGCGAAGGCCGTTATTTTTTTCTAGTTATATGTATATATATATATATAAATATATATATATATATATATAATTATAAAATTCCTGAAATAATGCAAAAAATTTTGTCTTGTATTTTTTCTTGTATGTATATATTTCAAAAATTCAACACTACTTTCAACATTGTTCAACTTTTTTATATTTTTTTTTAATTTATAAATTTCAGAGAAATTAGACATTTTATTGTTTTTTAAAAATGTTTATTAAATAAATTTACAAATAGCTATTTATAGCTATTTGCAAATTTATAGCTAATTTATAACAATGTTGAAAGTAGTATTGAATTTTTGAAATGTTGCGTTAACAACAGCCTGTTACCAAAATATGTATGTATATGTATATATATATATATATATATATATATATATATATATATATATACCACATTGAATTATAATTTTAAAAAATTATATATATATATATATATATATATATATATATGCGAATACTATGGCAAACAATATATATATATATATATATCAATAACTACTAAAATTCTATGAATGTCTTGAAATCTGTTGCATATGAGAAATCTTGTATTTTATATTTATATTTGTTAATTAATACCTACAGTGATTTTATATATTTGGTTATCCCCACGTAAATTAATTGTAATATATTCTGAGTTCTTATTTTATGTTTCAGTAATTTCTGAGTTGTACATATTTGCATAGATATAAAACTCCAATGTCTTTGGCTAAAACGACTATTTTATTTGTATGTTCGATTATTTTGTTTGTCATCGTATTCGTATCTGCGTTAGGTTGTGCTTCGTGCGTGCCAGGTTCGTTTGGTGAAATTACTAAAATTTCAACGAAGTGGTTCAGTTAGTTGATTTTTTTTTTTTATAAACGTACACAACGCGCCGACGAAGTTGTAGTTTTGACAGATTTTCTAATCTTCTATCCTATTTCTGTTATAAGTTCCAAGCAATAACCAAGACCCAAGGCAAGCTAGAATTCTCTGAGCAGATGAAAATGAAAGTAATGTCCATATGATGTTCGTGTAAAAAACTGTAAAAACTAATTTTTACACCACGGACAGCATTAAAATTTTTAAAAATTAAACAATTAGAGTCAGTCAGTGGACTGAGCACAGAATTTGAAAACTAATTTTTACATTTGGCCTCTATTAACAAAAGAAACTGCTACTAAAATAAAAATGCATCATGGAGTGAAATTACTACTTGAAGATCTGAAAACATTAGAATTAGTCATAGTGAGACAACAGATACATCTGTGCTATTTTTGTATTCAGTTTAATTAACTTAAAATAATTATTCTAAAATCTAAATGGCAGTCCATTTTCATCTTTAGAAAATTGTAATTTTAAATAATCTAATATTCAATGCAATAGGAAACCATGTAATAATAAAAAATGATGTATTGAATTTGTTCTGATTTCTAAGACATAAATTATTAAGTCTGTATTAGATTTTTACTAAAATTTTTCTTATTATTTGTAATTTTTAATCAAAATTTTGCTTGAAATAAATTTTGGAATTTGTAACACTTTTTCAATAGAATTAATCATAAATTTCAAACATATGATCTAATCTAATGGATTCTTATTTGTTTTGTCTACAGTCTACAGATTTTTTAGACTTTTTAATCTTTATGAGATACTATGCTTTGAATTTTGAATCTTAGAGAGAGCTTTTATATTTTACAATTAAAACTAAGCAATCGAAAAATGATTTTTGAAAAATTATATAAGATGCACATATATTTTTGGGTCATAACTATCTTTTTTTTTTCAATGTGAGGCCAACTGATGACCATATCTTTGAGGATACACCTGATATTGTAAAGAAATAGTAATAGAAGTAGTTTTTTGAAAAATAAAACACAATCTAATGAGCATCAAATTAAGGAAAATTTTTTGTTGATGGCCTTGCTTCTTGTCTTGTTTTTTCAACAGATTCTTTTATACTATCATCACCACAAACAACCATTAATTTTGCAAACAACATAGTTAATAAAAAATAAAACTTGTTGACCAATTTTTATGCTAAAATGAAAGAGGAAAGATGAAAATCATGTAATATTAATCAGTAACACTTATTATAAGAAAGTGGAATCTAAAATATTTTAACCAGATAAAAGACTTTGGACTGAATAACTGAAATCGCATTAAACTGCATTGTAATAAAATTGCGACTATCCAATTTCACCATTTAGGTTTATCGCAAAGGGCTCTGATTGAAATATACCAGCCACATCTGAAAAGAAAGAGATAATTAAAAATTAACCCTATTGAAATTAACCTGTTATCAATTTATGAGGATTGGATTAAAAAACTTTAAATAGGAGACATTTATAATTTGTGTTAGTTCAAAATCATTTCAGGGTCAGTTGATGAATGAGCACAAAGAAGAGATGTTGGTAGATGTCACACCTTTATTAATTGAATCATTTCTGCTGGTATTTCAAATATCTATGGACATAGTTTGCCATTATTTACTATTACGAGATTTTATAGCTGTGAATTAATGAATTGCATTAAAAGGCTTGATTGTGTAGTAGTAACGAGTCTGTCTTCTGTACTCTAATGTCTTGATTTGAACGGGACCTATTACATTTGTGTATATAAGCTGTGTGTTTTTACAAAGTTGGTTTCAAGAGCCTTTAAGCAATGCACTGGGTGCCATATAAAAGTGCATTATTCTTACTCTGCTATGCACTCTATGTGGTATTTAAAATTAACTAGAATTCAAAAATTAGTAATTTGTTTTTTAAATGAACCTTCAATCAGGTACCTATTTTAGAAAGTGATGGCTCTAGAGGCATTTTGTAATCCATGTGAAAGTAAATTGAGCAAACTTGGCATCTATGGTAATGAAGAAGATTTGCAATATCAAGATTTTGATTTAAATCCATGCAGTTTTGAAATACCAAGATCTCTTGATGTATGTTTATTGTTGTCATTCACAAATGTTTAATCAAATGTATTATATGATTAAAAGGGTTTGATATCAAATTATTTTAAATGGTGAATGTAATTGTTTGTTATTTGGCAAACTTTTTATAATTTTCATTAAAAACTTGATCATTCAAAATATTTTGAAAATTATATTGATAATTTTAGAAAGATGGACTTTGTATTTCATTCATCAGTTTCTGTCTCCAAGCCAATCTATCCATTGTGTCTGTCTCTGTGAGACCAAGTGCCTTCAAGTCCTTCTGTATGGTCTGCGTCCAGGACTTTTTTGGGCAACCTCTTGGGCGGGTGCCAGGCATCTGGTGCTCAGTAACGGAAATTATTGTATCGTTTTCGCGTCACATGGCCAAACCATCGTAGGCGATGACGACGACATGCTTCCTTCAACATGCACAGTCCCGATCAGTTTAGGATCTCGGTTGTATGGATATGATCCCCCAGGTCATCATGCTGCATTCAACGAATCATCTTCATGTAAGTTCGGTGAAGCTGCTGTTCGAGTTTTGTTGTCATCGGCCACGTCTCTGCACCGTACATCAGAACAGAACGTATAGCTGTGTTGTATAGTTTTGATCTGAGCGCAGCGGTAGAGGAATGCTATGCCGCATCAGTACCGAAGCAAGAAAGTGTCATCTGCCCCATGCCGCACGTATGCGTCCACGAACGGCGGCATCAGCTGTTCCAGTTCAATCCAGCATATCTCCCAAATAATGAAATAAAGCAACAGTTTCGATCCCGGTAATCGTATCATTACCTTGGCTCCGTTGTCGCGGGTTGAAGGCGGGGCATACGAAATCAGTCACTTTCCTCAGTGAGCCGGTAATTCTCGAGCATCGTCTGTGGAGCCACTGCTGACATCGTAGGCATTTGATCGAGTTGCTTCCAACACCAGCCCCACGCACCGAACCATGGCCAATGACCAGAAACTACAGGCTCAGCGGTACTCCGGTGATCATAGTTTTTGTTTTGTCAAGATTTACTGTTAGCCCGTGTTTGGCAAGCTGGGTGTTCCAGACCTCAAACTTTCTTGCTGTGTCTTGTTCTAAGGCTGAAGTATTTAGAACCTGAAGTTTTTTGCCAACTTGTTCTGGTTGTGATTGCCACCTCATTTTTTGAACTTGTAATATCCTGAACAAATCGTGGCTGTTTGATTATTTAAATGTATTAATCAAATCTGAATAATACAGAGGAACGTTTTATGTTTTACAAAGACGTTAACTTGGAGAAATATTAGTCATCAAATTGATTGATTTACGGAAAATTCATCGTGGAAAATTCATCGTGGAGGAAAATTCATCTTGGTGTAAAATTCATAGTGGATAATATATATATATATAATATATATATACACATACATACTATATATATAATATATAATGATGGTTCGATGTCAAAATATCAATTTGATTTCGATTATTTTAGGTTACAAAAATTTCGATTTCGATTTTTTTTCAAATGAAAAGCAACACAATAATTGGCATTTAAATTTTTGGTAACAAGTTTCTGGCATAATTTCTAATTTTAATTTGATAACATTCTTTTAAAAAGCAGTTAATCAAATTAAGGATTTTAAAGTTAGTCCAACCGCAAGTTATGACATAAAAAAACTAATTGTTCCACATGTTCTGGTTTTAGTCGGTTTCGTCGTTCATTTATTATTTGACCAGACATGGAGAAAATCTGTTCACTAGGCACAGATGTAGCAGGAATTGCAAGATACTTTCTTGCCACTTTAGCAATTGTTGGAAAGCGAGATGCATTATCGGCCCACCACTTGTAAACAGATTCTTCAGGAGCAATAATTTGTTCTTGAAGAAAACAGTCCAGTTCACTTTTCATTCTATCTTTAGGTGATTGACGTTGCTGTCCTTCAGCAGCAGCGGCAACCATATCTTTAAATGTTCCCCATAACGATATTTGTGAACAGTCGAAAGGAGCCGACTCTTTTTTTCCAACTTCCTCTGCATTAGATGCTTTATTTACAGATTGTGCACAATTTCAGCAGCTTTTGAACTCTGGTGTGATGCGGTGCTGAGAGAGACACACTTACTGGATACTGATCCATATATTCTTTTGTAGTTTGAATCATTATTCAAAGCTTTACTTGCATCAGTTGTAGCAAGCAAGTTTAGAGTGTGTGAAAAGCAAGATACATGAGAAGGAAGATAAATTCCGGAGCTGTCATCTATATTACTTTCCAAAAACTTATCACCAATCTCAACTGGAGTCATTTCTGTATCATCATCAACATCTATTTGCGAATCATCAGAAATACCTGCCTCTGCAAATTCCTTGAATGTTTTCACGAAATTGCTACCATTGTCTGTCACGACATTTACTATTTTCGATGAATCCAGATCAAACTCGCTGTGAATGTTCACCAACATGGCTGCAATTTTGTCATACGAATGAATTCCACGGAACCTACGGAAGGCAAGTGTAACGCCATTGCGCTTAAAATCATCTGGATTTATCCAATGGCAAGTTACTCCAATATAACTTCGAGCATGTTGCGTCCAAATGTCAGCAGTCGTGCAAACAAATTGAAAATTTTTTAGAGTCTCTTTAATAGTCTTCTTCATATCAGTAATCTTTGTGGACAGAATACCTTTTAATGTCTCGGTACACATAACTCGGGCTTTTGAGTTCAGACCCTGTATCAAAGTTTTAAACCCCTCTCCTTCCACAATTGAAAGTGGTTGCAAGTCGTTGATAACAAAATTAATTATTAAATCCTCAACCTTTTTATTCGATATTTATAAGGATTGTTATATATATATATATATTTATAAGGATTGTTATATATATATATATATAATAACTACTATATATAGCGTGCATGTGTATATAGATCATGTAGAGTCTATGATATAGATATATAGATGTCAGAGTGATGTGAGTTAACCACCTTTTAATGACTCAATTAGCCAATGGTTATCTTAACATCCCGCTATCCATGACTAAACAAGAACAAATGTTGATAAGAGAGATAAACAAGAATGTCAATGTGAAAATGTGTGTGTGTGTTTTCATCACTGTTTTCAATTTTTAAATGTTGACATTATCTTATTTTTGCTTAAAATTTTTCTGGTACTTACAGGAAAAATTTATTACTTATAAGTACAAGTACTGAAAAATGTACTTGAGTATAAGTATTTAAGTGCAGGTTTCCATATGTACTTAAGTATAAGTGTCTAAGTACTATATTTGTATTTAAGTACGCACTTAAGTACAAATGTACTTAAGTACTCGTCATCACTGATGCATACTCATACTATGTATTTATAATGTGCAACATTCTAGGGGTGTGTAATTGCAAAATCCATAACTTCAAATTAGCCTCATGATGAATTTTTCCCCACGATGAATTTTCCGGACACCAAATTGATTGTCATGTTGCCGGGCCGCTTCATGTAATATGACTACAAATTGTTCACTAGTTTGTTTTTGTTAATTTTTGAGGCTGATGTCAAACATCATTGAAACTTTTTCTTTCAACTGCACATTTAATTTAGCTTGAGATATAAAGCAAACAATTATGTCCGATCTAAGGATCACCATTTTCATTTTTTCAATTTTTTTTGATAGACACATTGAAAGGCAAAGTAAATTAAATCTTTTACGGTGATGAAAGCATTTTTTAAAATATTATTTCATTTTAATCTTGTCCCAAAATCTTTTCAGCCATCACTTCATTTCAATAAAGAAAGTAACGATGAATCCAAGATAAAAATTCATTTTGACCATGGCACAACAACGTTATCATTTAAATATAAAAATGGAGTGATCGTTGCAGTTGATTCCCGGGCTACAGCCGGTCCATGGATTGCTTCACAGAATGTAAAAAAAGTGATTGAGATTAACCCTTATTTGCTGGGAACCATGGCGGGTGGTGCTGCTGACTGCTCCTTCTGGCAACGGTTCCTTGCTGAGAAGTGCAGGTGCTTTCGTTTCCATGTTAAAATATTTTTGTTTTATAGCAAAGTTTTTTTATTGCAAAATTGTGAGGAATTTATTACAATACAGAAATTAAATTAACTCATATTTGGGTAGGAAGTTAAGTAGAATATAGAACTAATTAACTGATTTGGGTAAAAAATTTCACTTGTTACTCATCATTTAAAGAAAAATGTATGGCTATATGTCAGTAACACTGTTAACTAAAGAGAATTATCGACTGTTGTCGGCTACTGAGTATGAAGATATCGACAAGAAGATGAGTTTTAGTTAGAATATTGTGTTTGGTTTTTGGTCAATGCATAAAACAGTCATGCCACACAAAATATTGATTCATAGAAACATATGAATAAGTTATTAACACGTCAAATTTTAACAACGTATTCAGAGTATTTTTAGGCCTGTGAATGGGCGGATTTGTGAATTTCAATATTTTAGATAACTAAAAGTTCATTTTAACAAGTTTTAAATCATTAATCAAAGAATAAATTTACTCTAATGAATCAACGAAATAAGCAGTTTATCTAACTTGAATCAATCAATTAAATGGGAGGTTGATCGACCTGAAGGGTTTTCAAGTCTATTATAATTGTGGATTTAAACAGGTCACATAATTGTTGTTTAGGCATTTATTGAATAATTTGGTTTCCCTTTGATGAACTTTAATAAATATAAATTTAGCTGAAAATATTTTAAATGTTTATACTGATTGCAGAAAATGTTTTCATTTGTTAAATTTTAAGACTAGAAGCATTAATTGTTTTGCATTCACACGCAGATTATATGAGTTAAGAAACAAAGAGCGGATATCAGTTGCAGCTGCTTCGAAACTCCTAGCAAATATTCTTTACGGTTATAAAGGAATGGGTCTATCTGTTGTCAGTATTCATATTTGTTCTTTCATTTTTCAAACTTTATATTATTTTGTTTATTATTTAAACCGACAAAGATGTATTTAATCACAAAATTTAATTATCAATGCTGAAGGAAAACCGTTTAAATAATAAAATTTGTGTAAAACGCCATTATCTTGCAAAAATATTTATATAGGTCTGTCTAAATTAGAAAGGCTCTAGAGGGCCACACACATTTGTATATCTATCTATATGTATATGTCAGTGAAGATGAAAGGGAGGGTATATAAAGCATGTGTGAGAGCAGCGATGATATATGGTGGTGAAACTTGGGTGTTGAGGAGAGAGGAGGAAAGTGTACTGCAGAGGGCTGAAAGAGCTATGGTGAGGATGATGTGTGGGGTTAAAGTGAAGGATAGGAGGAGTAGTACAGAGCTGATGTCAATGATGGGACTGAATGAGGACATTGTGACATTGATAAGGAGATCGAGATTGCGGTGGTATGGACATGTGTTGAGAAGGGATGAAAGGGTCGGGATTAGGCGAGCGTTGGAGTTCGAGGTTGAAGGAGTGGTAGGAAGGGGTCGTCCGCGGTTGGGATGGAGAGAGCAGGTGGAGAAGGACAGGGTGAAAGCGGGGTTGCGTGATACTGAGGCGAGTGACAGATGTGGATGGAGTCGAGGGGTATTTCGGTTTCATCATAGGTAGCCAAACGGCAACCCCCGATCTCGGGGAAAATGCCGTCTAAACGTGTGTTGTTGTTGTATATGTATATGTTTTATAATAATTTGGAAGTGTTTAGAAAGATCACATCAATGATGACTGACACCAATCAGTCAAACATCATTTAAAAGCGTTCGTAACAACTTTAATGTATCGTTAGTCACACATTTCGGCATTCAGTTTGATATTTTCTGATACACCTGCTGGAATAAACCTTTACAAGAAGATGTGGTTCATTGCAAAGAACAGTTCTTGAGCTTTATTCACATATATGACCAGATGCAAATTTGAAATAAAATAACCAACAGAACAGCATGTTTTTAAGTTACAAGTTTTTTTTTTATAAAAGCGTTTAAAACAAAATCCTTTAACACTGACATATTCTTAGGCATGTTTATATTCAAGTAAGATAATTTGTGTGTTTAAACATTGTCAAAATTTTAGCTATTATGATTAAATGTGTTTGGACAAGAAAATAGCATTAAAATGTCAAAAATTCAATTCTCCTCGTGAGAAGACCTGTGAAATTTTGCTTTTCAGTTCAATGCTTAAATTTAAAAAGTAAGAAGCACTAGAATCAAATTTTCTTTGAGATAAAACACAATTGCTCATGGGCTGCGTAAAATGGACTGGAAGCAGCACAGTTTGACCACATCAGATATTTTTCAATTAACGATGTTTGTACATTCTCTCTTCTAATAAAAGCAAATATTTGTAAATAATGATGCCCGCACAATCTTCCACTTTAATTTTCAGGGAACGATGATTGTTGGCTGGGATAAGAGGGTTAGTTTATTACTTTCCAATGAGTTGGCGAGTTATTCTAATATTGAAACATTGTGTAAAGGGACCAGGCTTGTACTATGTTGACAGCGATGGCACGAGGTTGAGCAGCGTGATGTTCAGTGTGGGTTCAGGTTCAACGTATGCGTATGGAGTGCTAGACAGCGGCTACAGATATGATTTGAGTGATGACGAAGCTTACGATTTGGGAAGAAGAGCCATCTATCATGCAACTTACCGTGATGCTTACAGTGGAGGCATTGTCAGCTGTTAGATTTACGTTTCATTCTATAAGCTTCATTTAAATAATTTTCATTGTTTCATTCGTTAAACTAGTATTTTTTTATTAATTTATTATTTATATAGTTAATGTTTAGATATTACAGGTTGAAGGTTTGGTTTTAAGTCTACAGCGTTCTTCTCTCTACTGATTATATGAAATAAAGTGAAATTTTATTGACTGTAACAGATGTAGAATTCGATCTAACATAAGAATGAATGAGTGGTTTGTCGAATTTGAAGGGCTTTTGTGTGAGATAAAATTTCACATGAACAAGGAATTGATTTGGGTTTGGAGATTACTTTTATAAATCGATTTCTCTGGTGTAAAATACTGTTACTCTGAAAAAATTCACCTTGTTACAATTTGGCATGCATAGGAATTTCAAACTGTGATATTTAATTAACTGTGTTGTTTATGTGAATTTCTGTTGGATGTACATACACCTGATTAAGCTTAAAAATATTGCTCGATAATCAGGAAATAAACTTAGTTTTTATAATAATGCGTGTTTTTAAATGAGTAGTGAGTAATGACGCGGATGGCCTGTTAAGATAGTGGAGTAGATATTCTAAGGATTAATCCATATTGATATGTATATTTTTTTCTTGTAAATAAATTCTTGACTGCATCTCACTCAACTACCAGCCAGTTAGTTAAGTTAATTTGACTGAAAATCAATCAATCCCAAATGTGGTCAAAAAGTATCCTGTTCAATTACAATCTAAGTACAGAGTCATTTCTTAGTTTTCATGCTTTTTTAACATTTTCAACCAATGTAAAAACAAGTTGATTATTTTGTCAAAATAAAAATATGCAAGTTTTATTGTTAAATAGTGTACCACATGAAAGAAAGTGGATGGGTAAAAATTTCTCAGGATGATGTCTCCGATCTTCATTACACGTATCTAAAAGAAAAAAACTGATGGTTTGAAAACATTAATAATTAAAACATTCTACTTAATATTATGTGGGTTGTGTTGGAAAATAATTTGTCAAACTTTCTTTTCAGATAATTTTGATGAAATGTTTTAAGATGTTACGTCTTATTGTCTTGTAACTGTTCAAAAATTTTTCTTAAATAAATTCGTTCATACTTTTCCAATTTTCAGATCAGATGAGTTTTTCAAATAAATGCTTGTTTGTTCTTTAAAACATTTTTTTATAGCAATTCAACATAAATCAACTTAATAAACTTGACGTCGTCCAAAACTTGACTGAATTAGGCATTTTTTTTAGTTGTGAAGAAATTTAAAAGATGATTGTAATATAGATACAATTTAAGCATTTTATTTTCTTGTGCTAGAAGTGCTACACAACATGTTAGAGGTTAGTAATAACTAGGAATGGGACGGATGCAAGAATTCCTTAGGATTCGCGATATCCAGATCGACATCAAATGGATGGATTCCTACGGATTTGGATCCAGGTTGCATGCATACTCGGAATTAAATATCCTTCAAGTTCCATACCAAAGCTCCATTCCTCTAGGAGAATCAATCACGTTGTTGGAAACAATTTAATTTTTTTCGAATTTAACTAAACTAAATTTAAACCAAGAAATATTATTTAGTTTAGTTTGACAAAATCGGCCCGCGACAAGTATATACAATTTTACTTTGTAATGTCTATCCGCTCATGACTATGAGAACAAAAGTTTCTTCCAATTTTCCAATGTTATTTGTTTTCTCAACGATTTGTTGTCGGCATGACAGCTACAATTTTCGAGTCGTAAATTATTCAAATCATTTACAAAATTAAAAACTGACAAGAATCTCCAATTTCGTAATAATTTTTGCTACTTAATCAGTGCTTGTCAATAACGTTGAACTCAAATGACGGGGCGGGTGGTCCATTTCAAACATAATTATCTCTTTCAAACTGCAAGAGTTGGTTCCAAACATTTCATACCCTGCCATTTCGCGCAAGCAGACCCTGCTGACAGTCGTTGAACATGCACGTTGATTTTGAAAGTGCGCCACGACTGGTACAACTTTTTGAGCAATGAATAATGTTGCGTTTTATCCTACCCATACCGTTGTATCACGTGATTAAAGAATGGAGATGTACGATTCAGGTATAGTTACAAATAATTGTTAAAACTGTTAAACGGTGTATCAATAATGGATTCCGATAGCTCAAAAGAAAAGAATATATATAACATGCTAATTACCCCTTAGATGCATTTTAACATCACCTCTTCGGTTTGACACCAACTATGTTATATGTTTGAATATTTTGAATTATATTTAAAATTGGTTATATTCAATCCTGTTTGAAAAAAAAATTTCACTTATTTTAAGGCTCTGAAGATGGCACTTTTGCAGAAACAGTGCTGCAACCTTTACAAAAATTTTGTCATTGAGTTTTTTATAAAAAAATATTATTTAACTTGAAATGGGCTACAATTTATAATATCTGCAACAATGAAAACCTTGTCCTCAATTAAATGTTTTGTTCTATGCTTGCGTTAACATAATCAGTGGATTTAGACTACTTTGACGTGGGGCTAAAATTTTGAAAATGTTTAAATTTTGACGGGGAGGGCCAAAATTTGTGGTAATGTTGCTGACGATCTTTTTTCATTTTTTGGTCGATTTTATACATAAAACGGTCTCTTCTAACTTCTATCAAAAACTGCCCCCCACCCTTAGATCCGTTACTGAACCTAATTAGCAAAAGTTTCTGATAAAAAATCAGATAAGGAACTAAATATGTTTTAGAAATCAATAAAAAAATTGTCTTCGACAATCACGGACGGATACGTTTAGTATACCAATCAATCAATCAATCAATCAATCAATCAATCAATCAATCAATCAATCAATCAATCAATCAATCAATTAGCTTATAAAGCGCTATTTCCGCGATGTTCAACAGCGCTACTCATTCATGCTTCTTTCTCCGTTGTCTTTCACGATCTTGGATCCTGTAGACCACGACGTTTATCCAGTTAATGACTTTGTACGAACCTTCCCAATTACTTACTAGTTTTGGGCATCTCCCTTTCCTGTGCCGTTGTTTGTATAACCACACCAGGTCATTGATTTGGAGACAAGCCCTAATTCCTTTCGAGTCATGCCGGGTTTTTGGTGGTTTATTTTCCTTTAGCTATAGGTAAACGTCGTGGCCCCTTGAAATTGATTTAATTTGACTAAAAGAAAAAGATACAGGATGACTACAAGGAGCCCCAAGCGACCCATCAAGTACAGCCGTTTTAAATTAAACTAAAGATTAAAAAATATATAATAATAAAATATAGTTATAGCTGTAAGAGAAATAAATTGCTTACACAAATTTCATATATATACAAAATATAAACATATACACCATGCATCCACGAACATCCCCAAACAATCACAAAGTGGCGGATCTAAAGAGAGCCAGCGCATGCATCTCTCGCTGTGAGCGGTATTTGTGTTAAAAGTCAGAAAAAGTCGTTTTGACGAAAAAAAAGTAGTATTTTTGAAAGAAAAATTGACATTAGAAGCCCATAAAAAGGTCGTAAGTTAAATTCTGGCCACATTACCTGAGAAGTTGGCCCCCCTTCAAAAAAATGGCCTGACCGGTAAAAATTAAAACATTTGGTAAACAAATTCTCAAACCCATTCCACCGGTCATCAACTAAATTTATTTGGAATACCCCCGGTCGTCAAATTTTTCTTGAAAATTTTAGCTCCCCCCTCGTCAAAGTTGTTTAGATCCGCCATATCCACCGTTATACAATTACATAAAATATATATTCATAGAACATCCAGTGGTGTGTAGTTATTAACTACAAATAGTTAACTACTAGTTAATAACTACTTGCTAGTAGTTAAGCTGTAGTTAATAACTATTTTTTTCAAAGTAGTTATTAACTAGTAGTTAACTATTTTTTTAGTAGTTAATAACTAAAGTAGTTAACTATTTTACATAACTACTTATAATAATAAGCTAATATTTGATCGCCCCTATTTGTGTGCATGCATCGTTGTGCTACTGTTGAAAACAGACATGGTCATCTAATATGCATTTGCTATCATATCACATGCTGGATAACAAATGGTTGTATACAACAATGAGCAAAACATATATAAAACATATATACAATATATCATATATATTTATATATATAACATATTGTATATGGACACATATAATAGACATTTTACATAATATACATACATATTATATACACCTATTGCATTATGTAATTGTCTGTGGGGCATACAAGGTTAAGACAACTTAATCATGGATGTCCATGACCTAATGCATCATTAATTCATCATATTAATTTGCAAAAATTAGTAATTTGGTATCGAAAGGTTGTAAACACCAGTTTCTTTTTAAATGGCAATGTTTGGAAAGTAGTTAACTACTAGTTAACTACTAGGTGGTAGTTAAAGAGTAGTTACTAACTACTGTTGTGCAAAGTAGTTGAAAAGTAGTTACTAACTAGATTTTTTCAAAGTAGTTAACTATAGTAGTTAACTACATTTTTTAAGTAGTTAGCACAACACTGAGAACATCTATAATTACATACCTACAAAATATCACACTCACACACCTTCAAATACAACCACTCAAAGCACATTACAATTATTATTAAACCTCTTAAATCACTAAATCAATTCAAAAGAAAAATAGAACCAAAACAACAACTTCAAAATTCGTTCTAAAGCATCAAAAATTATATTGAGTTATTAAGCATAAATATCAATTCTATACAAGATATGCTAAAACACTTTGTAGTATGTTAGACCTTTCATCACATATATCAAGCATATACAAATGCTCACACTCATACAGTGGCGGATCTGCACAACTTTAGCCGGAGCCTACAATTCGTAAGTTTTTAAAACACGTTGACTGGAGTGAATACAAAAGAAATGATTAAATTTTTTAACAACATTCGCATGAAATCCCTCACTCTTATCAATGTCTTAACCAATTTAACAAGTGCATGATCAATACATTCGTTGGCTAAATTATTCATGAAACAGATTCTTCGTAAAAAATGCCATACAAATAAAACAATAATGAACCTGTTTCCACGCAAAAATAAATTATTGGTAACATGGCTTTATCCTTATTAAACATGTAACTTTATCTACACTAAAACAAATAAATTAACAATAAATTTCAAATAAATTTAAAAATAATTAAATTATTTTTATTAATAAAAATAAATTATTGGTAACATGGCTTTATCCTTATAGTAATTAAGCATATAACTTTATCTACACTAAAACACAACTAAAATGTCATGGATTCTTGATTTTGACGGACAGGCATCCTTTATTACAGAAAGTCTTAATACATATCCTAAACACCCGGATCTGAATAAGCCTTTCTGCATTGATCTTTCCAAGGCTTTTTTCAAATGGTGGTGTTAAGATTTTGTGTACCTGTCGCTGGTTCAATCAAGCAAATTTTTCGCTCCTCTGGTTTGCTGTTCAATTTTATTTCTGTGTTGTCCTCGAACGCGTTTCACTTCATTAGGTGCTGTTCCTCCAGTGGCTATTTTTAATTCGGCTATTTGGCGATTTAATTTTTTATTCATTGTGGCTAAAATTTGTTCTACAGAATTCGGAAAGTCGAACTCATCAGGATCGTTACCTTTATTTATCAAAGCGTCTCTTAGGCGGCTTTTCAAATGTGCCTTCACTCCTTTTGAATCGAGATTTTGTTTTTGTAGTTCCTTTCTCAAAATAGTAGTACCGAGCTCTTCTAGTGCAGGCATCCTTTATCTATCAATCAATCAATCAATCAATCAATCAATCAATCAATCAATCAATCAATCAATCAATCAATCAATCAATCAATCAATCAATCAATCAATCAATCAATCAATCAATCATTCATTCATTCATTCATTCAATCAATCAATCAATCAATTAGTTTATAAAGCGCTATTTCCGCGATGTTCAACGGCGCTCCTCAATGAATTTTGTAGATGGGTCTTGAGATCTGTTCTGAACTTCGTAAGTAATGGAGAAGTTATCAGAGAAGGATGTAGAGAGCTTCAGCGCGAAGGGCCAGCAAAAGTAAATGCAGATTTAGCAAAAGAGTGTTTAACACAAGTTAAGAAGAAGTGAGAACAAGAAGACTATCGTAAACCGGGGCATTTAGGTTCAATTAATATATCTAATAAATAGCCTACTTAGAAAATAATTTAGATTGAGATTTATACATAAATGAGCAAATTTTAAAAATTATTCTATATTTTATAGGTAGCCAGTGCAAGAGAACAAGATATAGAGATATATGAGTAAATAAAGGGGCATGAGCAACTAGACGAGCTGCAGAGTTAAAAGCTTTATTTAAAGGATAGAGTGTAGAATCAGGTTGACTATAGCAGAGCAGTGGCTAATTTAGGGGGGACCGGGAAGGGCCATGCCCCCCCCCCGTTATCATCAGTTCAATTCAAGACAGCGTTAAATAAAAAAAAAAATTTGAGATCGACTCTTTTTAACAATAAAAAATAACGCTGATTTATCATATAAATTTGATACAAGTTAAACTGGTCACAACTGTCTCTCCGGCCTTACCCCAAGATCCGCCACTGAATGTATATGTATAATACATATACATTCAGTGGCGACTGAATGTATATGTATAATACATATATATTCAGTGGCGGATCTTGTACATTCAGTACTGTATTTTAATAGCGCTCTGAAATTCCCCTGATTGTTATCAGATTTGAGATCTAATGCACCGTCATCTCGGTGTCCACGCAAAGCAAAATTTTGTCTTTCACAAAGTTTAATAGTTTCAATAATAGTGTTAAGCAATTTTCTGTTTTGCTCTATTTTTGTGGAGAGAGCGGAGTTTGATAACTCTAAAACATTAGTTTTATTTTTAATCAAACTCAGAAACATTTCTGATTTTTCTGTAGCCTCTCCATGAAAAGATGTCGCTTGATGACAGCGACATTGATCTAAAGCTGATTTATAACGATTTCAAGGTGATATAACAAATACTCCGACTGAGCCACATGATGGATGTCGATTAGCATAAAGTACACAAAACTTACAGAATGCTCCTTTTTCAAATCAGAATAAGACAGCCAGGAAAATTCTTGAAACCAATAGAATATAAAAAACCGTTTTCTTTTAGCTTCCAACACAAATGAAAATTTATAATTCTCGTCAGGTTTCCATGGATTTTTCAAAAGATCATATCTTAAATTATTTGAAATGCTTGGGATTTTTGCAGTTGCATATTGTCCAATATCTAAAGGTATTGTTTTCTTTGAAAAACTCTAACATGAATTACCAGTTTTGTCTGAAACATCAGTCATGTCATCGTTTAAATTTAATGAAAGGCCTTTTTCCAAGACATCAGATTCTATAATGGAAAAAAAACGTTGAGATTAAATTTTTTAATTTTCCTACCAGGCCTGAATAGTTAAATACTACAAACTTAATTCAAGTCTAGTCGGGCAATGACTGGTACGCATTAACCCTGACCCAAAAAATGTTTTTATTATTCAGCTTATTGCTAATTTTTTTAATTGAAAATACAAAATTATTTCATATGCAATTATTGAAATATCTAGGTATTACCATTAACGGCCTCAACTGTATTGAGATCATCGCACTGCTTCTGTTTTTTTGCCGGAGTCGGTTGAAAAAAGTTTAAAATACTACTTTTTTAAAAAACATTTTTTTTTAATTTTAAAACGAATTCAAATGCAAACTGATTTTATGAAACACAAAAAATAATATAAGACGCGCCAAATCGTAAATGTAATAAAATGTGAACTGCGAACAAAACATAAAATTATGAAAAGTCTAAATAAGTAAAGAATATAATATTTTTTTATTTACTTTTTGTTGATATTTGTTTTCAATAAATGTCATTTAAGAAAACATGAATTATTTTTATTTTGTGTCACAAAACACTAATTAAGTTTAAAATATGAATTATATTCTAAAATAAACTTGTATAAAATTTATATAATAAATCAGCGTTATTTTTCATTGTTAAAGAGTCGATCTCAAAATTTTTTTTAATTATTTAACAATGTCTTGAATTGAACTGATGATAACGGGGGGCCATGCCCCCCCCCCCCCCTAAATCCGCCACTGTAAAGAACTGAAATTATGAAAACTTGACGAATTTTCACTTTGACAACATTTTTCATATTAACTATTAGTATCAGTGGCGTAACCAGAAATTTGCCGCAGGGGGGCTTAAATTTGTTTAACAAAATGATGACTTTTTTCTTACCACACACAATTGTCAATAAATGATGCCAATAAAAAGACTGGTTTTGCGTAAAATTCAACTTCAGTATTATTATATATTTATTACTATTATTATATGTAATTGGCGTGGAGGGGCTGAATTACATTTCGGTACAAATTTATATAGAGGATTTCTTTCAATTTTGTCATAACTCTAGCAGAACATTCCAGTGTGAGGGCTTCAGTCCTATAGCTCTTCCTTGCTTTCACTTCTGATTACTAATAATTTTATTCATAAGAATCAAGGAAGGTATAGCGACCTATAGAAAAGTTTTCTACTTGTATTTCCCTTCCTTAACGTATTATATCTGTTATAAACTTTACTACGAGTAACAGCAGCAATGACGTCACACACCCATTACTATATTACATTTGGTACATATTCTTATTCTGTATCATCCGGCTGATACACTCATTCATTCATTTAAACAAACAAAAAAACGGCTGAAGCCGGAAGTTACAGACTAACATAAAATATTGAAGTCATCATACCCCAGTGAGCATGAAATGATATTGAATTTTGAGTTGACATACATCCATGTTTATATGTGCAATGCGTACGCACGCGCAAGTAAATATAAAAAACTACCAGATAGGTCACCACTTTAAAACAGTGGTTATTATTTCTATTCGTCGAGGTTTATCAATCAATCTTCGTTTAGCGTCTAGAGATCCAGTTCCCCGAGGTAGGACGTTGTTTTCTTTGCCATCAATTTTTTGTGCCAAATTAGACGATCAGTTGTATCTATTTCATTTAAATTTAGAGCTTTCATGTCTTGCTCGATTGTTTGCGACCAGGACTTCTTTGGACGGCCTTTGGGACGTGTGCCAGGTACTTCAACATCTGCAAGAGAAGTTATGGCACTGTTTCCACTTCGTTTGATATGACCAAACCACCGCAGACGGTGTTGCCAGCATTCGCCCTTTATATCATCTAAACCAGCACGACGCAGGATTTCGGTAGTTTTGACGTGGTCCTTTAGACTAATTCGTTGCATCCATCGGAGCATTTTCATGTCGGTTCGTTGAAGTTGTTGTTCCAGTTTGGCTGTCATTGGCCATGTTTCTGCACCATATAACAAGACCGGACGCATAACAGATTTATAAAGTCTTGATCGTAGTGGTAGTGGGATGTTACGCCGCATCAATATAGAGGCAAGAAGATGCCATTTATTCCATGCTGCACGTATGCGTGCCCGAACGGCAGCTTCAGCTGATCCAGTACAATCCAGAACAACCCATAGATATTGAAATGATGTGAATTTCTCTACCTTAATGGCTTCAAAAACATTGCTATTTCGAATTAGTTGTTGAGGATTGATGCAAGCAGGACAAACAAAAGTGGAAACTTTATACAAAGTACCAATTATTTTTGAACAACGTTTGTGACACCACTGGTTACACTGCTGACACTTGATTGAATTGTTACCTACACCAGCTTTACAAACTGAACAGGGCCATTGTCCAGTAGCTGTGGATTGGATGGGTTCACCAGTGTTCATTGTTTTGGTTATCTGATGTTGACAAAAGTAGCGCTCAGACAATCTACCATTGCTTTGTTGATTTTAAGAAAGCATTTGATTCTGTCTGGCATGAAGGTTTGTCGGCAACATTAGAAAGTATGGGAACATCAGAAAAGCTTTATGAAGAATCTAAAATGTCGGTAATAATAGGTACAGAACTTGGGGATTGAATAGAGGCAGACATTTGAATCAGAGAGGGCGATCCAATATAACAAATACTATTCATAGCATTGTTAGAAAGAGCAATGGAAAAAATTGAAAATTTGGAATTGAGTGGAATTGACATAGGAAGGAGAATTGTCAAAGATCTCAGGTTTGCAGATGATATAGATCTTCTAACTTCCAGTGAAAAAGGTCTACAGAAACTAATTGAACTAACACATGTTGGTGGAAAAGATCACGGCTTGCATTTCAACAAAGACGAAACGAATGTGATGATTACGGGGAAAAGGCAGAAACAATGGGGAATTTCAGATAAAATCAGAAAAACTCGAACAAGTAGACCAGTTTGTGTATCTTGGCAGTCTTATAACCTGAGACAACAACTGCACAAAAAAAATTGACAGAAGGATAGCAATAGCCCATGGAATGTTCGCATCATTGAAGGAAATAATGAAAAGTGGAAATATATCTATAAAAACAAATTTGAGAATGATAGAATCTTACGTTTTTTCGAGCTTGCTCTATGCATGTAAGACATGGACAATAAAGAAATGAAACAAAGACAGACTGGAAGCCTTTGAGAAGAAGTGTCACCGAAATTTGTTGGGAATCAGTTGGAGGCAGAAAGTAAAGAACGAAACCATCAGAAATCAACTTGGAAGACAGAAAAGTGTATATGACAAAGTCGGAGAAAGAAAATAGGAATTTTTTTGAACACGTTTGTAGAATGAGGGAAGACAGATTGATTAAAACGGTACCAATGAGAAAAAGAGATTGGAAGAAAAAAGTTGGTAGACCTGCAAAGAAATGGATGGACGACATTACTGAATGGACTGGTGTTGGTATTCTGAATTCAATAGAACTGGCCAAAGATAGAAATGTTTTTCTTAGAAAGAAAAAAGAAATGTAAAAGCATGCTCAGATGTACACCATCGGCCTCGACGGTCCCCTGATGGACAAAGGAGAATCATTGATTGATTTACCATATTGCTTTAAATGTGACAACACACGAGGTCGAGGTACATACGCATTTTGAATTTACACACAAGAACCGCAATATCGCGTCAGTTTTTTTGGCAATAGTATCCAAACCAGGTCATTACGCAAGAATAACGCGATGCATGGCACCCCTACCGTCGAAACTAACTAATTGATACACGTGTTCAAACAAAAATTTATGAAATGGTAAAATGGTCACGATATAAATAAAACTCTAGTTTCTTTTATTAAATCATAAACTCGTGTATTTCAAATTGGTTGATTCATGAAATAACAGTGTATAACATTGTTCACAGTTCATTGTTTCCTTTTGGAGGAACACTGCGAAAGACTCCTGCTTCTCTCATACGAACATAATCTTTATCTTGATCATAGGTTCTAAAAGTAAAACAAATAAGCTATATTTATAATGTTGACTGATTTGGATAACTAATTTCATTATTTTATGACATAAAAAAGAAAAGCTTGTCAATATCGTTCGAATGAACCGTAACCTGAGTCGAACAAATTTGAATTTAAACCGCTCACATAGCCTGAAGGTAAAATGCAAAAGTATCAGCGTTCTGCATGGCAGTGATCGAGCTCTAATTGAAAAGGATTATAGGTTAACAGTAAAACAGTGTACAATGCACCGCATTCATTTTCACGCATTCACCTATTCAGCTCGCGTTGTATTGGAAATCTAAGAAAGAAGTGGGTTGAGAAAAATAACCATATTGATGAAAAAAAAGTCAACAAAGATCCTAATTTTGAATTGATATACATACAGTGAAGTAAAATGGATCGGTCTGGTGAAAAACTTGGTGAAAATTTCTTAGATGATGCTAAGCATTCATTTATTAAATAGTATAAAAATAGATTGTTTGATCAATAAGATGACAGAAACAATAACGTTAATGAGGCCACTGAGATTGAAACTTAATTTCTAATGCCAATATTGTTGATTGCCAGAGCATAGGAACCATAATTTAGGAATATTTTAAAATAACGCAAACGCAGGACAGAGTTGTCAACACTTGAAAGTATCTAATGAATGAACCAACAGCAATAAAAAAGTGTTGTGAATTGCAATAAGATGCAGGCGTCTGACATCAAATAATTATTCCAAATAAACTTTGATATTGAATTTTCCTATACTGAAATATCATGAAGTATGCTTAAAATTTAAACCACGTGACCTTTAACTTATTAAAATATTTATTGACACTTGAAGTTGTTTCTCCTTAGATAATGATTTGAGATGAGTTAATAAATCACAATGATTGAAGCTAGGTAAAATTTCCTATTTTCATCACCAATACAGCTTCGGGTGAAGTTAGCCGATTGCATTTGGTTTGCATTATATATGCACATTGCACAAGTATGCCATATCGAAAAAATTGAAGTTCAAAGTGATAACAAATTTTAATTTTGTCATAAGTTTATGATAGATCCACTTGAAAAAGCGAAAATTTATAATTGATTATCTGCTTGAGAAAGCGAAAATTTATAATATAATAAAGGAACATAAGCGCAAAAATCTCTAAACATAAATTTGGTAAACTTGTATTCATATATATTTTTTCTTTAGTAAACATTAGTACAACTAGTCCTCACTCATTTATTTCTAAATTTTTGTTATCGAATATCGCCACCTCTTTATTTTTAATCAAATGAAGCTCCTCATATTTAATTTTATTTGAAAATAGGGAAGAGCTGTACTTAATTTTAAATCAAACCAAATCGAGGAGTGGTATATTGGCTAACTTCACCTAACGTCTTATGATCTTTTATTTTTTGCAGTTATTTTTTTTACTGTTCTTTAAACAAGATCGTTCTGTGGTTGTTTACTGATTTTAAATGTTTTTTGTGGTCACTTTCACCCATTCAGTGAAATAAAAAAATAATTGTAGACAAGAATCCAAAAATAAAAAATACAACGTACTTGTAAAATTGTTCAAATCTCTTTTTTCGAGCTTCCCCAACAAAAATTTTCACAGATGAAGTTGTCAAAATAGCTAGACCAGCCAGCAAGACAGCATGTTTAATTGTTCGCTGTTTGAGAAATCCTCTCAAAACTGGTTTTTCAATAGCAGACATATCTGATGGTAAATTGAAAAATAAAATAAATTTATTAACCTTTAATATCGTTAGTATTAGATCTAACAAGTTACTGTTAAATATGTTAATTTTTTAAAGGCTTTATTGTCAAAATAATTAAAAAAAAGACAAAATAACTGAATTGCAACATTCAGTTATTTTGTCTTTAAAAATGGCTGAAGTGAAGTGTGAAATTTTGGCCAGATGTTCAGTGCATCTCTTATGAAAGCTCATAAAATAATAAATTGGAAATAATAAATCTGCTGTTCGTGATATTAAGTCTTAAATGTAAATATAAAGTTTCAAACTTTAATTTCTGTCAATGCTTCTCTAAGGATGTGAAAGTTAAAATGTACAAGATTGAAAATGAAAAATTTAAATTAGGTTGACTTCTAAGCAATTGTTATTTTCCTAATTGACGGTAATTTGGGTTTTTTATCAAATTTGCTTGCAAACTTTAATTCTTACTCTTTTGTTTCCTCAAGATTTTAGTTAGGAGTAATGATTTATTTTAATTTGAACATAAGAAATTTTAAAATTGAACGGATGACCAAGGAAGGCCCAGATCACTAAAAACAAAACTATTTATTGTACAAGGCTCAAACTTTGCATACTAAAACAAAACTTTTCAATTCAATTCATTTATTTTAGAGTTATAAAGTATGTATATAAGATGGCTGGTGATCTGGTCTGATTTTTCTTTGGTTACTTTATGTATTATACAAGACTCTTATGTACAAAATTTAAGCCTTGTACAATAAATGAAATAGGCACACAAAATAAACAATTTTACAGATTTTCTTTATAAATAAAATTAGGTTATTGTTAAATTTTTTCAAAATGTTAAAACCATTGGTTCATGAAATTGCAAAAGTTGTTTACAAACTATAATGGTTCATTAAAAGACAATAACTCTAGCAATCTGAAAAAAAATTGGGATTTTCAACAGGGATTATATGGATTGGTTACTTTTTGGTAGTTGAATCTGTTGGTTAATCTTGAAAAGTAGTCGAATAAAATAATTGATTAATTTTCCATTCTTCTATACCTACGGCTTCAATGTGTGAATACAAAATTTGGCGTTCTTATCACAAAATATTGTCAATTTAACAAAAAAAACAATCAATTTAGAAAACGTGTCGACTTATTGAAATATTCTAATCCAAAAAATATTCATACAGCGACTGATAGGAAATAATTGGATGTTCAACAGTATTGAATAAATTAAAGTGGAAAACTAGTCAGACGTTAAAAAAAATTATATCATAATAAATATAATAAAAATGATAATTATTATAAAATTAACAGTGGAAATAATAATAATTAAAACGAATTTAATTAATTATTTCAACGTTTTTAAAGGTAAAGCATTGTTAACTTTTAATTAACGTTATTAGATGTCCATATTTCCTTAGTTAGTCATAATTAAAACACTTAAAACAATGTTTTTGTTTTGCTAATTTGAAATTTTGGATAAACATAATCCTGGCTAACCTTTTTTTTTTGAATAGACGTTGAATTTTACAAAAAATTTGTATATATTATCATTATGCATGGCCGTTATCAGTTTTTAGTTAGTACTTGAATTAAAACATAACACTCAACATGATTATTTAATTTGAAGAAGCATTTGCCTCGTTAAGTTCCCTATGTTCATTCTAACTGACCTAAAACAGAATTTGAGAGTTTCCTGCACAAGTTATAATGAATGTGTAATATCATTGCTTTCAGTAATGGTAACAAGAAGCAATACAGGTACTAAGTGGCTTGAGTTTCCTTATGAAGATTACAGTACTCAAGTGCAAACCATGTAGTAAAATAGAGCAAAAAGTTCTATGATTCAAATGATGTGTCAGCAAAAAATGTGGAGCACACCATTGAACTTTAAACTGGAATTGCCCTATTGTATCTTTACCATTATATAAGTTATTGGAAGCAAAAGAAGCAATGATTTTTTGTGTCCATTATAATTGATGCAAATGAAATTAGGCTGGAGCATAAAAGTACAACGGGTTGACCCAATTACTTTCAGTTCAACGTTTATGACATGTATGATTTCAATTTCTGTGTAATTTAATGGAGCGCACTAGTAAAAATAATTATAATGACATTCCTCAGAGGATTGTACTCATTAAATGCTTTGTTGAACAAATAGCTTTTTAACTCTCTTCTTCTTTTTCTGAAACAATTTGCTTTAATCTTGTTGTAAGATCATTCCATACCTTGGGCAGAGCAACCTGCATTCATCTGTCACCCAGTTTTGTCCTTGTCCTAGGAATTACCATCATTTCTGACGAAACCAAACGAGAAAAACCTCCTTCAGATATTCTGGGCCACCGCCATTTACGCAACTATGAGCCACCACGGCTGTTTATTATGGTTATTAGATGTTTATCATGTTTATTAGCGGTTGGTCACTAATAAAAGTATTAATTGTCAGTGGTGATATGCAGCCCACTAACAAGAGTAATTAATAGCTATCGGTCAAGAGATGCATCACACTAACGTGAGCACTGACCATTACCAAATTACTTGAAAAACTAAATAAATGGTTTTTCCTATTAAAAATTAAAACGGATTTATAAATTTTTAACGTTTTTAGTTTTTACAAACAAAAGTGAAAAACGTCTGACTGATTTTCCATGCCGATGCTGATTGATGCAGTGTAGTTGAACATTTTCTATAGAATAATTATGGGTATCTGTATGTGTATCAGTATCTGATCACTTTATTTATTTATTAGTATCAGAATCAGAGTCAACGCGGATTTAACATTTAAAACGAAAAAATAAATATCCCAGAAATCAAAAATAGAAAAAGGGATTCAGATGAAAATAGTGAATAATATACGCTAACAAACTTTAAAAATTAAACTTAAGTTAGTTAACCAGTTTTAAAAAAAGCACTGCGACCTTGAGGAATTGCAAAAAACCAAAACTACACTCCCAACATACACCCCACGACGGGAACAGTAGTCGCAAACTTTAACAAAAAACGTAAAATAAAGTATGGAAGACTAAACACTTTAAAACAAATTGACCAAAATAAAATTTTTTCACAAAAATATATGTGGTTAAAACCATATTTGCAAAATAAATAAAATAGATTAATAATTAAAACTAAACTATAAATTAATTTTAAAACAAAGATTAACTTAAAATTCTAAACCTCTTTTCTTGAATCTGATTTACCCAAGTTATTAATAATTTAACATTACGTCCTAACCATATATCCATGGTCCTAACTCTATTACTTCTTGGAGTACCTCTATGTTTCTTAAGTTTAATGTTACTAAGTTGGAATTAATTTGTTTTATTAAGTCTAAAAATTCTATTATTCAATTCTAATACTTTTTCTTCAGAACAGTGTTTAACTATTTTTTAATTCTCTGCGTAGTTTAGATTTTATTATTGACTCAGCTATTTCTTTATCCTTTCAAATTAATGATGTTGTTAAAACTTGTAATTTTCATTTGCGAACAATTAATAAAACTTTTACCTTTTCTTGATGAACTTACTTTTCAATGATTTGTTTCTTCGCTGATCTTATCTAGAATTGATTATTGTAATTCACTCTATTTTGGGCTTCCTGGTTCTATTTTAAACCCTTTAATAACTAAAGCCTTCAATTCTGTTACTCTCTTGGTTTCTTGTTTTTCTCTGTTTACTCACATTTCTCCCTTTACATTAGGCTAATCTTTAAGCTAAGCACTTTGACATTCAAATCTCAATCAAACGATTTTTAAAATATTTTTTGATCTTTTATCTAAACCTAAACGCTCTGGTTTACTATTTTCTCATTCTCACTATTTCCTAATATATGTTATATACTCGCATGCCAAATCTGCTTTTACTTAATCTCTTCCATTTGTATGGAATTCTCTACTTGTTGCTATTATTTCTTTTAAATCACTTTCATTATTTTGTTCTGGTATCAAAACTTATCACTAGAGAGAAGGATATCATTTCGTATTTTGAGTAAAAAAGTTTCAGTACTGTAAGCAGGTCTGAAACAGATAACAAGGAGTTAGAGATACAGGTAGCAAGGAGTTAAAGTTTAAATAAAATGATAATTGATTATAAACTACTTTTTTTTATTATTTTAGAGACGAAAGTAATACTAGTAACAGGTCTATAGTTAAATAAAGAGGAAAGATCTAAAGATGAGTTTTTAAGAATAAGAATAACAATAGAATTCTTATAAGAAGTAGGAAATTTAGAGGTAGAAAGAAATAAATTAACTAATTTGAGAATGATACGATAAAATATTGAAGAAATTCTTTTAGTAAATTAGAAAGAAGTAGATCTAGAGAACAAGTTGTAGATGACATAGAATTAATAATTTTAGTAAGTTCTAGAAGATTTATAGAGTAAATACATAAAAAGATTTAGTAGTAAGTTAAATAAAGTTATACAATAGGAATGTAGTGATAAAATTAATTCAAAACTACGCAGCTTAACTGTGCTCGGTACACACGTCAAACTTTTTGCTCAGTCTCTTTAAAATTTCAGGATGAATCTGAATTTGCACAAGCCAGTTTTGTGGACTGTACAGTTCGACTGAATGGCCTACACACCATCAATTTTAACCGCGCAAACCGAAACCGGTTTGGTTTGCACAGTTGTAGGAGGCTTTAATCTGCCATGTATGTTTATGCCTGAGAATTATCAAGTCAATGTCGATTATGTGATTTTGTCGTTTTTATGTAATTTTCAGTCGTTGACGTAATTGTTCTTTAAAATACAATTGCAAAAAAGTAAATAATTTTACGATGCATATTTTTGCAGATTTTTTATTCAGTAAAACAGTACGTACTTTATTTCACGCCTTGGTAACTTGTCAATGTAGCTGCAGTTAAAATACTAGGATCACTATGGTTGAAGCATGTTGAACCATGTTGTTAGGGGCACTTTGAACCACTTTGACAACACAATACTTTATGGTTGTGCTGATTTTACAATAAAATTATTCACTTTTAGTTTCTTTAAAATTGTATTTTTTAAAAAGCAAAAGAATAAATAAAGTCAACGACTCGTAACCAGCAAAATCACATATATGTTATTATATATTTATTATATAAATCCTAAATCTAAAAGTGTCTTTGTTTTTGAAGCGGGATCTATTACAATGATTCGGGATTCTTTAAAATTGTATTTTTTAAAAAGCAAAAGAATAAATAAAGTCAACGACTCGTAACCAGCAAAATCACATATATGTTATTATATATTTATTATATAAATCCTAAATCTAAAAGTGTATTTGTTTTTGAAGCGGGATCTATTACAATGGTAAGAAATCGATCGCGAAAAACAGATAAAAGTAGCACTTTTTCAGATATCATTCTGGTTGCTTCAATTAATGGTGTTATTGTTTCACAAGAACGTGGTCAATTGATCACTTTGGCTGTTGCAATTAATGCATTAGGAAACAGTACATTACAACCATTACAAAGATCATTTTGTTAGAGGTGGATAACCGGGCTGTCTTGGACTAGCTCACCTCTCTGGGTGAATTACAGAAGTTAATTTTATGTTTTAAAACATCATGTCAAACATGCACATTCTTCCGTTGAGAATCCAACCCTGTTGCTACTTGACAATCATGAGTCACATGTATCTATATCTGTGTTGGACTACGGAAAAAAGATGCTAAAAAGATGTTTTCCTACACATTACAGGCACAAACTCCAACCGCCCAAGCGATCGGTATTCGGGCTATTCAAGGAAATTAACGATTAGCGCCAGATGCCTGGAGGAAGAACAATCCGGGTCGATCAATGACAATGACAAATGAAAAAGACTTTTCTACAATTTCCGGGATATTATGATATTCCGGAAATTGTATTAAAACCATTCTTTTTCTTTATATTAATAAATACATATTTATTTGTTTACAATTCAGCTATTCTAGCATTGTTGTTTTTATTTATATAGCGACCAGCATAAATCCATTTGCACACCGGAGATAATCAGGCCATTCAAAATAGTGGACCGCAAAATTGTAAAAAGACTTTTTCACAAGCTGCAACTCCGGTTGATACACGCTCGGAATTCAGGGTTGTCGGTCGATGTATACCCTCTCAACCGTGATATTTTTCAAGATTATGAATATGCGCCATCATACACTACAGATATACTGGAACAGAAATTATTGTTATTTCAAACCATTCTTATTCTTTATATAGATAAATTGCACACCGGAGATAATCAGGCCATTTAAAATAGCGGACCGCGAAATTCAAGCAAAGAAAATCGAAAAAAAGGCAAGACTCAAAAGACTCAACTCTGTCTTCACACCAGTGAAGACAGAGTTGGAAGCTCGTCAACGGGCTCGTGAATTAAAAACCAGAAAAAAGATTTTAATTGACCACAATCAGCTGAAATCAAGAAAGACAGCTAAATTGTTGCAGAAGCAGAAGAAAAGTAACACTAATTTTCCGACAATCACGACTGACGACAAAATACCTTGTCATCTCTGTGGCATACTAGTTAACGTACATCCATTTGAAGACTGGAGAGAATTTCCGTCCTGCGAAAAATGATTCCATGAACGTTGCTGCCCAGAGGACTCTGTTTTGTGTTTTTTAGTTTTTCTAAAGTTAAAAAATAAATTTGACTTTAACAACATTTTAAAATTTGAAGATATTTAACTAAAAAAATAAAATTCCTTAGCAACGGGAATTATTAAAGATTGGTACTGTGTTTGGTAAAAGATGCCCCGTGGACGGGGTAGGTTGAACCGCATGACAGGCTTGCAAACATGTCTTTCTAGTTTCTATTTTCAAAAAAACAGGACAGAATTGAATATATTTTTTGTGATACGCAGTAGACATATTTTTATATAATAATGATCTATTTTAAAACGTTTTAAAATAATAATATAAATTTAATGAGTTAAACACTAAAAATTGGTTTAATATACCCAGGTCTCCTCAACATGCTATTTAAATGTTTTTAATAGTTTTATTCGTTGAATTTTTATGTATGCTACTTTTTTTCTTTATTTTTATTTTGTAATAATTTGTATTTTGCACTTCATAATTGTTTGTTTGGCAAATTGTGGGTTGAGCCTAGTTGAATCTTTAGAAATTCGAATATATAATGATGGGTTGAAACTGCGACTCATATGTATTTGTGATATATAATCTATATAATCATATAAGCTTATAATTTTTTAGCGTCACAAAAAGCTTTCTGTATGTACCGACAGTTTTTCCTACACTTACATCATCAATCCTCAGAAGTACCATAGTAAGTCTGAGACACTAGATGACCCTAGATAAACAAAAAGGTAAATATTTTTTCTGTTTGTTTATACTGTTGCTCGGTGCATGTGTTATGTGACTTACTTATCGAGAGATAGCCCTATGATCTCCACGCGCCCATTAAGACAGGCAATCCATAGCGGAACGCAACCTAACTGGCTGGGGGCTGCCCAACTAAAGGTGAGCAGTAGCCGTCTAACGAAATACGATGACCTCTCCCGTTGTCGAAGACCACTGTCACTCGTTTTTCTTACGCCAACCGGTCGAGCTCTTCCCGTGTAGTGCCATTATACTGCGGTGATGCAGGTGTATCCTCTCCAGTTTGTAGTTACATAGCTGCTTAGGCAGGTCGATATGGAGAGTCAAAGTTTTTCTTCTCCTATGCGAGCTACCATTCAGGGTTTAAACCCACGCCAATTCGAGCATTTTGTAGGTTTCAGGATCTTATTCTCACCACCATTTTCGGCGTAAACAACTTTTGAAGCCATAAGAAAATTAACTTTGTGAATAATCAGAAATGGGAGCAGAGTTATGTTGTAATAAGTTTCTTTTATATTTTTTAATACTGTCTTTGGTATCGAACCATCACTAATGTTTTCTTTGTTGTTTGTTGTTCAATAATGAATTAGCGATTAGACGTTTGATCTGGACGCTTATGTGATGGTGTATTGAAAATTTAGTAATTTTGTTTTTATAAATTGAAAGTTTAGCGGGTTTTGTCAAAATTTCAACATGGTCTACAAATGAGGATTGAAATGTTTGTTCAATTCAATTCTAAATTAAATTCAGCCTACTTCTTCTATGTGCTTTTGTTTTCCTTTCAAGTCTTCCTGCTTTCATGTGTGTGTAATCGTAAGTAATCTTAAATCGTAATCGTAAATGTAATATATTAAATTAAGCTATTTATATCATTTGGTTTTAATAATTTATATAATAATAATTTATATAATTTAATATTATTTTCAGTCAGTTAATTGTTTTATTTTTCAAAAAATGCAAATGTGCATGAGCATGGCTTAGCCTTTTCTATCAGAAGAGTTGTTAGAATTGCTTTTATTTAGTTGATACTAGACTAGAAGCACTAGACTGACTTAGACTCTAAGTCTTAGAGTTTTGAGTTGCTATTGTAATTGTAATTAATAATTATATATAGTCAAGCCATTAGTTAGATTAAACTTAAAATGTTTCATGGCATATAAGCACTGTTAAATAAAAATGATGATTAAAAATTGTTGTGTTTTATTTAATGCTATGCACAAAATCAAAATGCCCAAAGAATGCTATGTTCCATGGTCAGGTACATACTGGATAGGATGTTAGGGTTAGGGTTAGGGTTAACCCCTTCACTATCCACATTATGTACTGTGCATCAGGCACTACAAATCTTAGTTCAAAAGTATTTTACGCTATGTAGTATGAATCAAACTTGCAAATTTAAAATGGTTGTATTCCATGGTTGCATTTTCTTTGATAATTTAATTGTGTATGTTATGCTTGAGACACTGAGACAGTAGATTTTAATGATTGCATTTCGGGTGTTGGATTGGAAGAATTTATCTTTTGTAATATAATTTTGTATCGGTCTTGGCACATCATAAATCAGCAGATTTTATTAGTTGTGTTCTGTGCACTCAAAGTTTTTTCATTCGTGTAATTATATGCAATTATATGCTTGGTTGGCACACTGGGAACCATTAGATGGAAAATGTTTGTTTTCCCTGTTCTTAAACTGAATATATGTCATTTGGGTTATACCTGGCTGGACTGGAAACAGTGCATTGCAAACACTTGCATATTTGCTTTGTTGTATAGATCTCAGAGGTAATGAATATTCATCATTATGAAATTAATGTGTGCACAATTTGAGCGATTACACTACGCAAAACATTCTATAAAATATTTTAATATTTTTATTTTAAAAAACATTTTCAAGTTTTACTACAATTGCTTTAGTAGCCGACTTCGATAAGAGTTTTTTCCACTGCAAACAAATTTACATTGCGTTTGGCGAGTTAAGTAGCTTAATATTATATGTTCTGGGCAATGCTCTATGCTCATCTAAAATTACATTGGTTTTTATGATATATGTAGAATGGTTTTATGATTTTTAACAATTTTTTAGCTTATTTGCATTTGGAATTAAAATTTGATTGGACATTGGAGGAGTATTTGTATTTTACTCATTAAAAAGTTAACACATAAGCAGAAAATGTTATTATTGTTATGTTGGAGGAATAATTTATATCAGATTCCTACTGAAAGTAATTGTTTGCCTTCTCGCTTCTGTACCTGAATGATGCATTAAATAATTGGCAGTGGTAAATTTATTAGGCACATCATGTTGCTTATTTGAATGTGAAAATCTACTAGGCATGTTTATGATTGTTTATTTTTGCGTTATAATTCATATTTATGAACATTAGAAATTTAATTGAAGAAATATTTTTTAAATTTTTCTTAAAATCCAACAAATGTTTTTTTTATGTTATCTACAACATGTTATAAAAGTTAATGCCTCGTTCAATTACACTGACAATAAATTAATATTTTGATAGAATAACTACAATGCTAGTGAAGACGTCCTCATCATCTCACTACCATGATGCTGAAAACCATTGTGCTAACTCGTCAAAATCCATTGAACCCTTACTGAAGATTAAAATAAGTAGACTAAAAGATGGCTCAAGGTCAGTTTCTCTCAACAACAACAATAGTGACAACAACAACAATATTAATAATGATGAACAAACAAGCAACAATTTGGAAAAGAGGAGAAGCACAGTTTTGAACCAGGGTTGTGATTCTTCCTCTTGCAAAACAAATGAAACAAACGAGTTCTGTTGCAGAATTGCTGCAAATGAAAATACAATTGATGATAGTGAAGAAACGGAAAAAGAAGAATTAGACGATGGTGATGATGATGATGCTGTCAATTTTGTTTCATTGAGTTTAGTCAACAACAACATTTCACACAGTAAGAAAAATTGTTTTTTGAAAAAAAAGTCTCCTGTGAAGCCAAAAATAAAAGTAAAGAATTTGAAAAAGTTTTCACTGAACAGAGTTTCCATGTTTGCTAACAAAAATGCCAGCAAATCTTTTAAGGATCTTGGCAGTAAGCCTTTTAAATTGTTGAGTAGCAAATCAGTTGGCACAATGACTGACGTTAATTTACTGGGACCCTGCCAACCAGGCACTTTTATAAAAATGCCCGGATTCATCTGGACTGACTCAGCACAGAATGGTTAGCCTCTTTTTTTGAAGCATTTCAGACTTTTACTTTTTTGCTTCTCCTTTTCCCTATTTAATATCACTCATTAGGTTTATATATCAACTGTGAAATTTGAAGCTCAAATGTTGAAACATTTTGAATATTTCGAGAATTTTAATTTATTTTGAGCATTAGGCTATTAAAATGTATCTTTTCACCTTATCACAATGCGTTGTGATTGGTAATGCTTTACAAAGCATGCCAATGTTTTGCTTATGGTGGTGTTCTGGCACAGTGCATGACATCATATCATTAATATATTTCATCCATCGTGATGAGTGCTGGATATATGGTACTGAATGATTGTTAGGCCTCTGTGGTGCTGTGAATTAAATGAATGTTGTGTCCCATGTTTTAAGTTGGATGCAGCATTGTGAAGGTCACTTAAAGTAAATCATTTATTTCGAGTCTTTGCCACAGTTACTCTGGGAAATAAATATGTTTGCTTAAACTTGTTTAGCAAAATATCTACTGAATCCAGTCCAGTGACAAATAACCTGCTATCTTTCTTTGGAAAATAAAACCTGAACAGTGATTGTTACTGAGATCAGATAAATGTTTAAGAATATTTTGATACAAATAATGTCACATCATCCAACAGACCAACACAGATCATTCATGTTTAAACAAATTTTGACAAAAGTTAAAATACTTTAAAATATTGACTATGTTAGGTATGCTCTTGTTCAAAACGACATGGAAAGATCAGGTCTACAGTGGGATGCTGGTTGAAGCAGCAAAAGAAGATTGGTCATTTCCTAAGTTGGTTTTTAATGATTTTATTTTTTGCCGTTTTCAACACAAGTTTGCATTATTTATACATATATTTCTCTTTACTTAGATGTGTTAATATTATGTTAGACTACTTCTAAGTTAAGAAAAGGAAGTGTTTTTCAGCATGAACCAAAAGTTTTCAGTGTAAATCAAATTTTTTTAAATTTACAATAAGATAATTTTGTTAAGCTCAGGTTAGTTTTGACATCAGGGTGGAGTTTAAACAGCCCAAAAAAATAAAATTTGTGATTTTCAATGGTCTTACCCCCCAGAACTTTTTCTTATCTAAAAATATAAAAAAAAAGTTTGAGTCTCTTAGTGTTATATTTAGAGGTAGCTTAATGTTATCAAAGATAACAAAAAAAGCAATTTATTTAAAAATGGAAAAAATGTAAAGTATTTCTAGAATACATCTTGTAACAGAATTTTAACTTTGAATCTCAAATATTGTCTTCAAATATAATCAAACAGAAGACTGCTCTTGATTATACAACTGTTCAAAGCAGAAAGTTTGTGCCTTGCTACACTGCTGACAGATGATGTACTTGGCCGCAGTTTCAACAATGTGTGTTTTTTGCTGCCCGGATATGCCTGTCTGTGCTGCTCAACTGTCAGCAATAGGAACTGAAGATGAGACTCATCTTTGATTGTAATGCCACTCACTTCTTGAATAAGGGTGACCCCACGTTCTGCATGATCATTTACCATACTCATGGAATGAACTGCCTCTGATGCTTGCTGATAATCCTCCTGTGCCTCCCATATGTCTGGATCTTCATTGAGAAATTCATGCGGAAGTTCCATGAGTTGAAATAATGTGAACGACTTTGCTAAAAAGAAATCCTCAAATTTCTTTCTTGTGAATGCTGGCAGGTCAACAGTTATTCGCTTAGTATGATCCTGCTGAGCTGGCTCAGTGTTAATATAGTTTTCATGGCATTTACCATTTTTCTCTCGGTTGCCGAAGTTACTGTTCTGTCAAAATAGGCTAAACCAACCAGTTCAGATGACAAATACTACAACTGATTTGAGAATTTGTGTGATGCCGCCTCTGATATTGCTGGATTTATTGTGGAGTAGCCAAGCAGGGATTTCAGCAATAGAAAATCATTGTATAGTGCGCTTGCTGCAAAAGGGACTGTAATCCACGTCTTGCAGGCCCTCCTCTGGTTTTATCAAATGAAACTGGCTTCAAATTATCCAGATCTTCAGACTAAATTACTTTTGAGAGCCAGCGAGCATGCATGGACCCAGGTGCCATGAATCGGATTCCTCTTGCTGGGACAGAGCCAAGAAAATGACTACTAGCCCCAAGAATTCTCTGTAATCATCCCTTGGCTGACTCTCTGCCAGATATCTGTTTGCAAAAAACAATGGTTCTGTCCCTGATATCTCTGGAGAAGATATGTCTCCAAGACAGACTTGATAAACGGCATTAATGATCAGTTCCATTATGGGATGTCTGCATGCCAATGAAAGAAGCCCTTTACGGAGATTTTGTTCCAAGAGAACACAAGCACCAACAATCCGGCCACTGTTCGAGCTGGTTGTATCAAAGCACATCGCTCGAACACTGCTTTTTATGTCCCAATCCTCCAATGCAGTGTGTACAGCTTCTGCTTGAGCTTCGCCACTTCCACTTGCTAGCTTTGCATCTGTCAGTAGCTAGAAAACTCCTTTTCCTGAAACAATCACTGGAAGTCGATCGGCGTGTATTTTGGTTGTTAGGTCAGGAATGAGTTTGCCATCCCATTGAACTACCAGTGGCACATTGTCTGGAAAATCAGCTTTTAATGTTTATGACTGCTGAAGCCTGTGTTTCATTCTCTGTCGGCGAATTGAGTCACGATTAAGGACAAGGTCTTCGACATTGTGACCTAAACTTTTTGCGGTTTCAGAAATAACAAACATCTTTTTTCAATCTGATATCTTTGTTCTGTCTAAAGTAGCTGCAAGCTGTGGTGTAACAATTTTCTTTCTACCTCTCTTTCTCTTAGCAGGAGTCTGATAACTATAACCTTCAACAAGTACCTCGTCGTCAGCATATCTGTCTTGACCTGTCTTTTGAATTTCTTCTGCACTGCTGCTGCTACTGATTAACAGTACTGCTTTTTCGTTTTGCTTTCTTGGCAATTCGTTCATTCGGTGTTGTCTGGCAAGCAATTGTTTCTGTCTACTGTTCGCTTCTCCTTTGCAGCTAACTTTGTGTCTGTACCAGCCATTGATTCCCTTATTCCCTTTTGTTGCTGAATCAGCAGAAATTTCCTGTCTTCAGCAACTGAGATCATGCTGAGAGCGTTGGCATGAGCAATATCAAAAAGATCATCTAATCGGGAAACAAACTTAGTCTTTTTTGACTGTTGCATCTGAAATTGCCGGCCTTTATTCTTCTTAAGCAGACGCCACTCTTCAAATGCTTTTTCTTATTTAGTGTGACAGTTTGTACCAAAATTTTGCCATCTCTTCTGTAGCAGTTGATGACTGCCTGATAATCTCATGCGGTTTCAGGTGATGATGTAGAATAATACAGTAAATAACAATGTCAATCAACCAAATAATCTGTCCAGCACGCAGCACCAATTTATATGAGCAAAATTGATTTCAGCACACTGTCTCAACACATGGGCAGGACTAGAAATCAATGATGATGCCAGCTGCAAGACAGGCATGCACATAAGGAAAAGCTGCATGACTCAGCTGATGATGTCAGAATTTAAATAATAAGTCTGGGCTAATGCTTGCTAACAATAAAACATGTTTCGTTTGTCTCCATTATGCATCATTGCTGATGTCATAAAGCTTTATTTAGCATTTAGAAATAATTATGTAATATAGTTATGTGACCAGTGTTCAGTCAGTTAAAAAATACTGCTTTGAAATGCATAGGCCTATAACGGGTTCTATATGCAAAAGCCTTAAAGGCTGATACACATGTCATTAAAACCTTATTCGAATTTATTCCATAAAATTCAAACGTATTCACACTTACCCCAAAACATACACCAACCAAACTTAAGGACTAACCAGCAACAAAGTCAAAAATTTTTGTGGGGAGGCTTTGCTTGTTTTGCTATACGATACAGAGATTTCATTTGTTCACCTTTGCTTTTAGTGAGCCACTCTCTGCACTGATCTGTCCGAGCCAGTGCAACTTGACGTCTTGCATAGTTGTTCTTCTCACGGAAAATTTTATGGTCATCAACAGACATTGATTTTTGCCATTGCTTGTATGCAGCTTTCTTTTCAGCTATTGCATTTTGTACACTGTCAGTGTCCACCACCAAGTGTCTCGTTCATGCTGACGTTTTGTACCAGTTTTCCCATAAACTGTAGTTGCAGCGTTTATCAAAACGGTTTTGTATGTACTCCAATCTGTACTGGCTTGCGATTGGTGGTCTTACTGTGTTGCTACAATCTGTTGAAATTTTTCTCGATAATTATTGCTTTTCAGCTTTTACGTTTTTATTCTCCGAGGCATTTGTTTAGACTTATGTTTTGGCTGGTCGACAACCAGGTCCGCCACAAGGAGTCTATGGTGGGCGACACATGATTCGCCAGGTATAACTTTGACATTTTTGAATAGCCTTCGGTGTTGTTGCTTGACAGCGAAGAAATCAATTTGCGTGGCTGATGGTCCACTTTTGTATGTTATGAGATGTTCCAACCTCTTTTTAAAATATGTGTTCAGTAAACAAAACTGTGACTTTCAGCAAACTCAAGGATGCTGTTGCCATCTTCATTTCGTTCTCCATAGCCAAAACCGCCATGTACGTTGTCAAAACCATCTGTTTTCTCTCCAACGTGGCCGTGAAATTGTTTCAGATTTTGGTATTGTTGAGATGGTGTCAGAGAACGCAGCCCAGAAGTCATTTTTCTTCTCTTCTGATTCGCATGTCTGTGGTGCGTATGCAGAAAAAATAATCATTGTTTGCTTTTCTAGGCGAAGCTTGATCCACATGAGACGTGAATTTATCCTTTCAATATCCAGTACTTCTTGGGCTAGCGGTTCTCTGACAATAATTCCAACACCGTTTTTGGCCGTCTTTTGACCATTCCAAAATAGTTTATATTTTTCTTTGTCTGAGTTGACATGACAGACACCATTCGATTTCCGTCGGGTCTCCTGAAGGCAGCAGATGTCAATCATTCTGAATTTTTTTGCAACTTCCCTCCGCTATTGCATTTTTCTCAGGGATTCTTGGCACCCCTTGGCCACTTAAAGCCTGCTGTGGACTAGGAGCCGTTGTTTTTCTTTGTGATGGTATAGGAATAAGTTGGGGAAAAGTTTTTACATCTGAACACCCATCCTAACGACAACCACTAGTTATAAGCAATGGGCCTAGCCTTTTGCTCAAAAGCACGCAAGGCAGCGTGGATGCAGTTTTATGTAATGCCCAGGACCATTTAAAATAGTTAGCGACTTTTTATATTGTTATCCCACGTTTGTGGGGGTGCTAGAACAGTTTCCAGTAAAAATTTATACTGAGATTTTGTTCAATTCTACCTTGTAAAGTTTTCCATTATGGCGGCTTCCGTCCTTAGCTACATCTCTACTCTGAACAGTATTGAAACTTATCTAAACACTTCTTAACATAATCTCAAACACATCTGCCTGACTAACACGTGAAAAAATTTTTTAGTTAACTTATTGCACGATGCATGGCATACATAATAATAATATGCTATACTACGAGACTTGCTTATCTGAAAACCTCACTCCAAATTATATAATAATTACACGTATTAGCAGGATTTATGCCATGTATCACCACAATATCTCTCCCTTGTTCCAGATTTGATGATTCTGATTTGTCCTCCAATCAATGGTAGAATTGAATTATGATATAAATCGACAAAAAAAAGGAGAAATGGAAAAATAATACATCTGAGAAACATATTATAAAATAAAGTACATGTTTATAAGGGTTGGGGTATGGTTATAAATGATTTTAAAAAAAATTTAATATTGATGAATACATATTCAAAATATCAAAGAGAAATATATAGTTAAGGTTGGTCCAAGGTTAGATTAAGGTGATGAAAACTGGAATTACTTCATGATTTAATAAATTAAATTTCCATGATGTAACATTATTGCGTGGTAAGTAGTAAGCAGTCTTGCAAAATAAATACACACACACACCCATATATATATATATATATATATATATATATATATATATATATATATATATAAATAATTCTTTTCTCTGATTCCTCTCATAAGTGTGGTTCACATAAATGATTTACTCGTTAAATATCAAATGATTAGACGGAGTTTGCACACACGCGCGCGCAAGCAAAACCTTATTTAAAACTGTTTTTTTTTTTCATTTTTCCAGGTCTCGTATTTTTGCATCATGTCCTGGATCAAGATATAAAAGAAAATGCAAAAAACCTAAAGAATTCAATTACATTGATAGCTGGAAAAAAAGAAGTCGGAATGCCAAGCAAAAAGCTCGAGCACTGAGAAATCTCCTGGCTCTCGATGAGTTTGCATCTGTCAACTGTTCATTTAATGCCGATCATTTTGATGGTTCACATTTTCTTCTTCCTTGTCTTCATGAGGGCTGTTATAAAAAATTCAACAGTTTCGTTGCTCGCCAGTTTCATGTCGACAACTGCCACTCTGTGACAACAAAACTGATGCTCCAAGAAATAAATCATCTTCATGATATGAATGAAAGTTTTATAAAAATTGACGTAACAGAAAGTATTGAAAATATGAATGTGTCATCTGAGCAAGATGATGAGAATGATGATGCAGATTACACCATAAGAAATAGTCGATGGCGCAAGAATACATTGCTTCCCAAGCAGACATCTAAAGTTTTAAAATGTTTTGAGAAGAGCTCTCAAACTATGAATGAAGTTTTAGAACAACCAATTTTACAAAATTGTGGTCAAATTGGTACAACACCAGTAACAATGCAGCCTCACATTCAATCCGAAACAACTACCACAAATTCTTCTCCTGAGAGGACGTTCGTTGAAACTAACCTGTTAACAAAAGATATTTCCGTAGAGTCAAAGCTTTCGAAGTCTTGTGTTGAAGGCTCTCCACATTATCATTATCCAGAGTCAGCTACTTTAAGTCACAATTCATTCCCATTTATCATTCCTGATTCAGACCCACAAATTGAATCATCAACTGCAACACAATCTGAACAAACAATCGCCTTTTCTGCTTCATCTTTTCAACTTTCATGTTCTTCACCCAGTCTCTCGTTACAATCAACTTTCACCAATAATTGTTTGGGGTTGAATGATGGTAACCGACCACTTCGCTTAACATTCAAGTGCAATGCTGAATACGATGGACAAAATCTTCAAAAAGTTGCTTTGGTTGATAACAGTAGTGACAATATTTTGCGACCTCACGCGAACACAAAACATGCTGCTGATGCAAACACAACAATATTAACACACGATAGCAATTCTGTGATTTTATATAATCTAAACATTCCTAGTCAGAAAAGTGGTACAACCAATCTAACTTCTAGTTATACGTATTCTGATGATAGCCATTTTTTAAATAATACAAATCAAACTTTTGTCTTTCAAAAGAACGAGTACATAAATTCCAACGAGAATGCACCACACCTGGAAGCTCGTAAACTAAAAACGTGTCCTAGTCCAGTTTATTCTGACATATCAGATACAGTGGATGAGGCACCACTCTTTGTTAATCGGACTTGCAATGCATCTAATTCATCGAGCAGCAATCTTCATCATTGGACGACCTCAGACATTGACAATTCATCACTCAATAAATGGCTGACATCTTCAAAAAGCTTTCTTTGTGAAACTGAAAAACATCCTGAATCTAATAGTGACAATTGGAAATCAAATTCCAACTTTTCATTGCCACAGTTTTCAAAAGAAAGTTACCTAAAAGGCCAAAGTTTTAATTTTACTCATGAGAAAAATTTTGATTCGGTTGAATGTAACATTAGCCTGTTTAATTCTAACGCATCTTTTAATATTGACAACGCATCTAATGTTTTCTAGCATAATCTGCATCCCTTTTGGCGATTAGTTTAGGTCAGGTTTCAATGAACACAGTAGCTATTGTGCGCTTTGTTCCTCCATGGGATATTATGGTTAAAATTAAAATAATTGAACAATGGTAGGAAAATGTTTTTTTTTCATTTTAAAACTTCTAAAGAAGAAAGCCTATAAGTTTTATTAAATTTGTGCATGTATTTTTGTGAATTCATGTTGGCTTCATGCAGATTCCGCGGTTTTTACACCATGATTTCTTTCTCTGATAAACTTTTAATTTTTACAACTTTCGGCGTTTATCATTTACTGATAAATCGCTTTTCATCTACTGATATAATTAATAATTTAGTAAATAGGTTTGTAATACTGAAATTAATTTTTAATTATTCAATAACGTTTCCCGGAGTTTTGTTTGTAATACTTCATTATCGCTCATGTCTGAGAGCTCCTAAGCTTTCCTCCACCTATGAATTCTCTTCATATATCTAGGGCATGTTGCAAGACTCTTTTTCACTCATCATCCTTCGACAATCAGCAGTAGAAACGATTGAAACAGCATCTGTTCGAACAGGCTTTTGGTGGCCATGATGACATTTGTTTATCCGGGCGCCTCTGACGCTACGATAGGGCGCTGCAGAAAAGACGTTATTATTATTCTGAAGTTGCATTCTTCTATCTAAAACAATTCATCATTGCATGTGGCATTCTACAGTTTTCTATACCGCATGCTCTCCCTCCCTCTATGTATGTATATATATATATATATATATATATATATATATATATATATATATATATATATAGTTGGTAATAGATATAATTTTTACAATATTCTAAGAAAATCAACTGCGTTAATACAATTATTATGTTTATGCATTAATTTTTCAAGTTTTCTTATTAAAATTTTATTATAATTATTTAATTTATTAAGTAAAAAACTAAAATTATTATTGATGCCAACGATAAAATGCTAAAATTATTATTAGAGATGCCAACGACCATGACAACAACACCAACAATAATGTTAATAATTGCAGCAACAACACCAATACTAATGTTAACAACAACAACATCATCATTGTCAATAACAATAGTTATAATAATAATAATGATAACAACAATGACGATAATAATATAAACTTGGAAACATGAATATTGTAGTATGATGATATGGCTGATTTTTGCTTTTTATTTGTTGATTTACTTTATGGTCGTTTTTTCAGCAATTTTTAAAATTTTAATTTTATTTGTTTAATTCTAATATATATCTATGTTAATAATTTAAAGTTAATTTTATCAATATGTTGAATATATAGTATATAATAACTAATAATAATATTTTCAAAATGTTTCGCGCTTAAAATTAAGTTATACTGTATGACGTCATTTGTTTATCAACGGTAATTTTCGTTATTATTCAAAAATATTTTGCACTGACGATGATATATTTTATATCGAAAAAGCTTTTTGCAATTATTTGTATTAATAAACATGAACAATAATAATTTTAGTTTTTTACTTAGTAAATTAAATAATTATAATAAAATTTTAATTAGAAACTTGAAAAATTAATGTATAAACATAATAATTGTATTAACGTTGTTGATTTTCTTGAAAACTGTATCGAATATGGTCTAAATCCTAATATATTTAAATATATATATATGCAGGTTATGCTATAAAACAGGGATATATATATATAGGCATGCGTGTACGTACTTTTATGCGTATATATACATTTTTCCATATATCTGATTACACTCATGTGTATGTAATATATCCATCCTCACCACACTTTGATTTGTGTATGTAGAATTACTAATACAAATTAAAATCTATTCCAATTTCTTGATGCAGCTTTGCACTTAAGGCTGTTTAAAAGGATCATTATTTTTTATTACCTATGACAATAGTCCTTTTGTTATAATTTCAGTGTGAGTTAGATCGCAAAAGATTGTTTTCATTTTGAGTGTGTACCAGGGTTTCAAAACGGAAAATTAATTGTGTGTGATGCAGTCATCTTATTAAAATTGTGAGAGTTGTGTGATTCTGAACTGAGGCATAATAGGTTAAATATTTTATAACTTATTCTTTGTGTGTTCAAACCTATCAAAATTAGGAGAGCATGTCTTGTGCTATAGCTTACCAATATGTTTGTCATGTAATAATAAATGTGTTTTTATATGCAATTACACTCTTTATCAGTATTATTTTGATTGTCTTTTATATTTCAGTTATTTACTGTATTTTAAAATAATGCCATCTCATTTTAGTTTAGGCTGACGTGTTTAAGTCAAGATCTTCAGGTTCTTTCAAATATGATTAATTTTTGAGAAAGAAATAAATGCGTAAAAACGAATAAATCTTTTTGTCGTTTTCATTAAGAAGTTCATTAGTTGTTCTAGCAATGTCCGTGAGTTCCCACATTTAAATTATCGCTGCGATTACTCGTTCAAAACTTCACTCTATATTTTCGTCATTCTCTATCCTTACTTTTTAAAATTTTAATCAAATTAAAATCAAGCAAATTTCTTTAAAATTGACTTCTGGTTAATTCTATATTGCAAAAGCTGTGTTTTACCGTCTCTATTATAAACTTACGGTCTTATTTTTGTTTTATAAAATTGTATTTCATCTGCTGCACTGTTCTACTTCCAGGCGTGCTGTAGTTGCACACCTCTATCTCTTGTTTTCCATCCAAAAGCGTACTCCGAATAGCATTCACAATTTCGTTGCTTTCTTACGCTAAGTAAATGAGTCTATAGCAGTCTATAAACTCCCCTGTCAAGGACCACAATGAGAACAATAAACAGTAGAGCCCAAAACACTACTTTGCTGCGCCCCACTAAAAACACCAAAGTTATCTGACATTGATGCATTTACTTTCACTAAGAAATATCTAGTTTTTACGTAATCCCTTATCCAATCCTCAAACAAATCAATCACTCAATATGATTTTAATTTAATAAAAGTTCATCATGAGGAACCTATCAAACGCTTTTTCAGAATCAATCCTATATAACCTCAAACTTTATTCATGCAATATCTTTAATAGTAACAAAAACAAAACAGCAGATTTCCTAGGCCTGAAATCAAACTGTCCACAATTAAGCATCATTATGCTCAAAGTGATTCACCAAACCGACTCCATGACCTTACGGCACAATCAACACAGAAATAGGTAAATAATTTTTCAGACAGCATTCCCCTTTTTATAAGTAGGCATCGTGCATGTTATACACTATTGAGACAAGCTCTAAGTATAAAAATTGCTTTTTTTTACTTATTTTATTATTAAATCCATTAATTGTAGAAAAATATCAATAACAGTTGATATCAATAACTCTTGACTTTTAAAATTTTTTTAATCAAATTAAGTAAAATAAAATAATTTTTGAATTTGATTGATCAAATAACATTAACCTTATAAGAAATATTAGGAAATATACAGTAGTTGTAATAACAATTTGGAATTAAAAAAACGTTGGATGCTTTTTAGAAACAAGAATAACTATAGGTACTCAATTGCGTCGCGTCATATCCCACTTTTTAATTTCAAATTGTTATTATAACTACTCTATATTTTCTAATATTTTTTACAAAGTAAAATTAGTTTATTCTTTTAAGTTCAATAGTAAAAACTTTGAAAGTTTTTTTAAAGTTTGTTTTATTGAACATAGTCAAGTGAAAATCCAAAATACAATTTATTCGCGCAATTTCCAAATTTTGATTATTTAAGGATTTAAATTTAACTCTTAAAATTAATTGGTAAAAACACTCAAAAAGTAATTTTTCTCCGTAAATCTGAACCACAAAAAAAGATTAGTGGGTCACAGAAGATGGGCAATTTTGATCAAAATTTGTTTAGTGTTTAAAGTTTTAGCTTAAAAAACTGCTGTTGAAAAAAGTCAAAATAATGGCAAAGTGTGAAGTTTTGTCATTGGTTGCCGCCCGAATTAATGCTTCTCCTTAAATCGTAAATAAAAATCGTAGATGTTTCAGTGTAATATTTTTATTGATTATTTAGTAATGTTTTTAATTATCTTCATGATATCTTATTGGTTTCGTGAATATTATACATACATATACATAACTACATTCTATTGATATAAAAGAGTACCATTTCATTCTTAATGTAGTTTTTGTTATGTTTGTTGGCGACTTATTCGAAGGTTGTATCGAAATCAAATAAATCAGGAATTACGATATTATATTACTTTCATCATTATTTTGATTGATAAAATAAAATTTCTCTAACTTTTTGTATTTCAATTTAAAGTTTAATAATGCATCAAAATTAACATAAATCAGCAGGTAAACGACATGACAAGAAGACTTGTTTGCGTAGAGCAAGTTACACCTATTGTACAGGTGATATCGCCGTGCTAGCTAAGTAGCAATGAACATTCATTAAGAAAATGTTTACATTTACCAACATTATGTTATTATTTTTATGAGTAAAGTTTCAATCAATTGTATAAAATGACTACGGTAACTTCTCACGAAATAAATTTATATGGTCTGAGTGGCTCTATATTTTGGACAACTTTGATAGGATTTATATTTTTTGTGCTTGGGTTTGCAACGGTTGGTTGGAGCCACGTAGGAAAGACCTGGAAGGGGCTTTGGATGACCTGCGATAGTAACGAAAGTAACGCATCTGATGGTATAATTTGTATTATCGATTTCGCATTATCTTTTTAAATTGATTGTTTTACCTACATTAATAATTTTTTTACAAGCGTTAAAGGCAACACAAGCAATGATAACAATTGGTTTAATATTGTTCGTTGGAGCAACTCTGGCCATATTTATTTACATGTTTCTGCACGAGTTATCTTTCAGCAAAAGTTTGCTCATAAAAGTCTTTTGTGGATTGTCCTTCGCAACAGGTTATTATAAAAAAGTTGTTGTCATAGAACACACAATTTATAAAAATTTAAAGTAATAAATGCGAAAGGTGTTGAATGAAAAATGAGAGAGAGCTTGTAGACACTATGAACGTCTTTCACAACTCGTTGACGTTGGTCTAGCACTGATGTTCAATATTTTCCAATGCCGTTTATACTCGCACTTTGGTTTATTACTTTGTTTTTACAACACAAATAACTCCTTAATAATATGTGCAATTGATGCTGACAAATTTTTAGCGAGATTTGGTTTTAAGGGAGTATTTATATTTTTTAGAATAAAAACCAAAATATTATATGTGTTGTCTCAGTGGGTTTTTCAAAAAACCGGATCTTCTTTTTAAATAAATACTATATCTAAACAAGAAATTTTTTTTAACTTCAACTCTTCAAAACTTAACTAAATTTTTCATTCATATATTATATTCTTTTTATTAGGCTTTTTGTGGTAGAAATACTTTTGAGATTACTTTTTTAGCTACAACTTTTTTTAATGTAAAGTTGCATTTTTTAAATTTGTTTATAAATAAATTCATCTCACACAGAAATCACTTAACAATAAATGCAATTGAACAACATAAACGAAACTTTCGGCCAAATTTCACAAACCTCAAATGCATTCATTTTAATCGCATTGTGTACCATCATTTTTCATATTTTTTGTATAATTTAATAAATATAAATGAATAAAGCACATTCTGAAATGAATACCTTGAAACATATTTCAAAATTATAGTTTTGTTTACGTTGATTGGCGTGGCAATCTATGGCGGCACTGAGAAGTACAATTTAAACTGGTCTTACGCTTTTACCATCATTGGAGGAATATTTTCTTTGATATCCGCAAGTTTGAGTCTATTTCATATGAAAAAGTCAAGTATATTTTGATGAAAAATTTACATGAACAATGATTTTTCAGCATTTCAATTATTGGTGATATTATAGGTTGTTCACACAGCTGCGAAACTTATTGTGTTTCAGTTTTAAATTTTACAAATTTTGTGTCTTAATAAATTGTGTTTACCAACAATATGTTCATATTTTTCAAAGCATTTACATTTTTTGGCAATATTATTTAGACGTTCATCTGTACACTGCCTTGATTTTATCATTCAATTCTTTGTATTATCCATAATTCGTTCATGTTTAATTAGTTGATTTGTAATTTTTATTAATATCGAAAAAATTATTTCAAATTTTTGCTTATTTATCATTCGCATGTTTTTTTCGAAAGTTTCATTTAAATTACAAAATAGCATTGGCAAAATATTGCATAGTATCAGTGATGGGCACTAACTAAATTTTTTAACTTAATCTTTAACTTATTTTTAACTAAATAATTTTAGTTAAACTATCAGTTGCAACTAATTAAAAAAAAAGTTGCAACTAAACTTTTAAATAGAAGTTAAACTTTTTCTAACTTGTTTCCAACTTTTTTCAATGGATCAGTTTTAATTCAAAGTATTCTAAATAAAAACTTGAAAAAAGTGAATAATAAGAAAACAAGCTAAAAGTTATTAGATTAGAATTTTATAAAAGTTATGAAAATTTTAAAAAATATTTATAAGATTGTCTGTTTTCAGTTGAGACCGAAGAAAAATCATCATATTTATCGTTTCATCTGCCATCATGCATCTGCGAGCAGTCAATACTTGTGTTGCCGCACTAAAAAGCCTTTCAACAATGCAGAACTTGGTAAATAATTTTAGTTAAACTTTTTAGTTAGTAACTAAAAAAACTAGTTAAACTGCTGTTTTAACTAAACTATTTTTGTTAAGTTAAACTTTGCATTTAAAAAAAGTAGTTTAACTTAAATTAGTAACTTTTTGCTTAACTTTTGCCCATCACTGCATAGTATACTGATTATGATCATTTTTTCATTAATTTGTTAATTTAAAAATGAATAAAATTTAAAACTCATTTTTTTCCAAAATGTATAAACGGCTAATAACAGTCTGAACTTCTGAGACAAATGTATAGAACCCGTAATTTTGTCATTAATTTGATTACATTTATTTTATAGCCAATCTCGATTCTTAACCATGTTCCATTTGCATAATAACATAAAATCTTTCAGGGCTTTCATAAAATAAAACTAAAAGAGCAACTGTATTTTAAAAAAGAATCAACCAAAATCCTGCTTATTTGTAAACCATTAAATTGATAAGCAGTTTTCGAACGAATACTGAAAATATCAGCACCTGAAACCAACAAAACAAAAAGCAAAATTTGTTTTAAAGTCTACTGCGATGCATACAAGAATTTAAACATATATTAGAGGAACAAAAAAACTTGCAAAAACTCCAACAATGATTGTAGTGATCATGAAAATGAAGAATATTCTAGGAACATCCAGGCTGTGGAGTGATAACAGGGTGTCCAAAAAATGTATACGTGGTTCGAATATTTGTGGATTTGTTTTTATTGGGTTTTTGTTGTTCAACAAATGTGCTACTGTTGGCAACTTTCATTATCTGGTCTTTTGTTATATATTGTTAAAATAATTGAACAGCTTTATAAAATGTTGTGCATTATATATATAGGGGCTTTACATGGCATATATATATATATATATATATATATATATATATATATATATATATATATATATATATATATATATATATTTATTTTTATTTTATTTATTTTCTCAAAAAAGAGGGGTAAACTAAAAAGCAACCAAATGCTTGTAGGAAAGTCACCCTATCCAAATGAAATTAAAATTGATCAACATAAATTAAAGATTAATGTAGTTCAACAAAAATCAATGATTAAATTAGTTCGAAATAAAAGGCACATGGGGAGTATATTCTTTAGTTATTACGATTGTTTCTATTATTGTTAATAATATTTAATGTAAAATAATCAAAACCTAACTATTAAACACAGATAACCAATAAAGATAATAAAAATTCAATAAGTACATATAATTAATAACATTATTTAAATCCAGTAAATTCAAATAATATCAGATAGAATATTAAAGTCAAAAGAAATTATACATAGATCCATTCATACAATACACGCATTCTATCATTTACACATACACACATACACTCATACATGCACATAACACATAGGGTACATAGAAATAAACAACATAGTTTTGTATAGTCGATAATAACAAACACTTCCTAATTCAAGAAAATAGTATTTTTTTGAATCAGGTAGCGTTTAATTTTAGATTTAAACAAATGCAAGTGACTGAGAGCTTTAATCTCAAGTGGAATCACCGTGTCCCAGACCTTCGGTCCTGTTAGTTTCAAACTTATATTTATTAATTTTATTCGGGCTGGATTTGAATAAAAAGTAGGATTGTGTCTTAGAGGCTTACTATGAATGGTATTTATTAGAGTAAAAAAATCTTAATAAGAAGGTGGAAGTAATTCATGTAGGTATTTAAACATGAAAATTGAGACAAAGTATACATGGATGTTGTTTATATTTAAAATTTTCAAAACAGGGTAATATTTTGAAACAGAGGAAAACGGATGGAGAATTAGTAACAAACGAATGAAACGGTTTTGACACCGTTTGACCTGATTCAAGTGCACAGCAGGACAATTACCCTAAAGTAAGTTACAATAAACGAGATGAGGATAAATGAGTGTGTTATACAGTTCCAAAAGTATATTTCTATTTAGTTTATGTTTGATCTTGTGTAGTATACCTATTAATTTGTTAAATTTGTCAGAAATAAAATTAATATGGTTGTCCCAGGAAAGATTATCTTTAACTAAGACTCCAAGAAACCTAATTGAATCAGATCGGGCAATATTGTTAGTGTTAATATTAATATTCAAGTCAGGTAAAGAATTTGTTAAAATTCTCGGACCAAATATTAAATAACTGCATTTGGAATAGTTGATATTAAGCTTATTTAAGGTAAACCAGTTAACTATTTTTTCAAGTTCACCATTTATTATAGACTAATCATTTGCAGGATTTTTGGTGTGGAAAAGAATAGTGGTGTCATCCGCATAAAGAACAAATTTGGCTATTTCAGAGGCATGACACAAATTGTTAATAAATAGTGTAAAGAGAAGAGGTCCTAGAATGGAACCTTGAGGAACTCCAAAACTGATATTAAGAGGTTCCGAACAGTGATCACCAATATTAACAAATTGTTTCCTATTCTTAAGATATGAGCAGAACCACAAATGTATTAGACCTCTAACACCATAGGAATACAGTTTGGCAAGTAGGATGTCATGGTCAATCATATCAAACGCTTTTGACAAATCTATAAAAACGCCAACCGTCAAAATACCTTCATTTAATTTATTCAACACTGTGTGGGCTAGATGCAACACAGCTAATTCAGTTGAAAAATTAGGTCTGAAACCAAATTGGTAGTCGCTAATAATATTATTAGCATTCAGAAAAGAAGATAGTCTACAAAACATTAGTTTTTCTAAAATTTTGGAAAGTGGAGAGAGTAGTAAGATGGGCCTATAATTATTAATGTCTTCTCTACTACCCTTTTTGAAAATGGGAATTATCTTAGATTTTTTAAAACATTCAGGGAAGATGCCTTGCGAGAAAGAGAGATTACAAATATGGGTGAAAGGGACTAAAACTTCGTTAATGATTTGTTTAATTAGAAAATTACTTAGTGTGTCTGTTGAGGTGCTTTTACTATTTTTTAAATTGTTAGCTATATTTAAAACCTCTGATTCATTAGTTAACTTTAAAAACATAGACTGATTATTTGATTTTAGAAATTTAGATGAAAATTGTGTTGAGATGGTATAACCATTTGATTTTACTATATTAGTGAAATGATTGTTCAGAGCATTACATATCTCTTTAGTATCTTCAATCGTTACATTGTTAATATTGAGACTATTGATAAATAAAGAAGAAGTGTTCTTGTTTAAAATTTTATTTATCAGAACCCATTTTTGTCTAGCGTCTGATTTAGCTGCAGAAAATTGTTGTTTGAAAAAATTATTTTCAGTCTTCCTTTTATATGAAGTGAAATTATTTCTGAAATGTTTATATTTCAAATAGTTATGGACCGTAGGATTAAGCCGATAGAGTTTAAACAACTTGTTTTGTTTATTAGACATTTTGATAATATCATGGGTTATCCATGATTTTTTATTTATTGTTTTGTTCTTAGAAAAAGGAGCAAAACTATTCAAAGCACTATTAATTATACTGTAAAAAATTGAGCAAGCACCGTCAACACTAGCTTCATTCAAGACAGTTGACCAATCAACATATCTCAGAAAAAGTTTAATTAATCTTATATTATGTTTGGTGAGTCTGCGCACAAGTGAGGTGCATTCTAGCATTGACTTTAGCCTATGTTTATGAGATAAAGAGAAAATAGGAAAGTGGTCAGAAAAATCGGACACAATGATTCCACTTTCTGCATAGTCTGGCGCGTTAGAAAAAATATCTATAAGAGTAGATGAAGTGGACGTAACCCGAATAGGAAAAAGTATCAAAGGACTAAAGCCATATGACAGAAGCAAATTTTGAAAATTTTTATTATGAATACAATTTGAGTTTAGAAGATTAATATTAAAGTCCCCGACTACATACGTTATTTGCGTCGATTTACATATATTTAAAATCAATTCCAATTTCATAATAAATAAATCTATTTTACTATTAGGTGGGCGATAAACAGCAATAACTTTGAAGGGTTTAAAAGCAGGAGTATGATCAGGTTTTAAAGTTATACATAATATATCAACAGATTGGTCATTAAAAATAGAGTCATTACAAATATTAAAAATAAGATTATTTTTCACAAAGATACCCACTCCACCACCTTGACGATTTTATTAAGAAGACTACGTGAATTGATGTGTAGAATGGAAAGATTGTTGTAGCTATGTGTATCAAAAGATTTAATAACATTATTATGAAAATCATCAATAGTTAAATATAAATTATTATAAAGATTCGACGAAATAGATCCAAAATTATTATGTGGTGTGTTACTCATGGTTGTCGGTGGTGTTGGTGTTCATTTTGGTGTTCATTTGTACAATGTTGTCTTCAGATTTATCTATTGAATTTGTGATGTCATCCAGTGGCTTGTTGTTGGCGTCAAAAGGTTTGCTGTTGAAAACAATTGATTTGTTGTTCATCAAATGGGAGTTTACATCTATTGATTTATTATTATTACTATTATTACTACCTTTGTTGCTACCACCATTATTAATACCGTCATTATTACCATTATCATTATTGATTATTGATTTATTATTGCTGTCCACCAAATTAGTGTTGAAAAGCCATTCTCTAACGCGTACGTGTTCAGGCCACGCATCGGCAGATTCGACTATGCTGGCAAATTTTTTATCAACGCAAAGTCTAAAAGATGTAGATTGGTCGTTGTTTGCAAGCGCCTGGGCATAACTTTTCTTTAGAGCAGGGTAGCATGACAAAACTTCTACATCCACCAATTTCAAGTGTTCAATTATGCTTTCACTGGTACATCTGTTGACGTTGCTGATGTGATAGAATTTTTTTTTATTTTGTATTACTTTGCTCGCAGATATTTTTGACTGGGCTGCTTGTCTTTTACCAATTGTTGTAGTTCTTTGAGCTGTCATGTTTTTCGTATTGTTGATGATCGGAGAGTTCACTCTTGCACGTTTGTTTCTAGGTACGTAGAGCGTAAAATTATCAAAATTTGTAGTAGTATTCACCGGAGATTATACACAGTCGGACCAACTAACATGTGCAACTGTCGGTTTTGAAAAATTTGCTTGATTGTTGTTGGCTTGATATTGAACTGTAGTTTGTGCATTAGTCTGTTTTGAATAATTGTTATTACTCAATGATTGAGTCGATATTTTTGTATGAGTGCTTAGGACCTCCAAAATGTCTGTACGCTTTTCGTTATCGTATGTTATATTTAAATTATCATTTAAATTTAATTCATTATTAAATCCAGGAATTTTATTCAGATTAAGGGACACATAAATTGATACCTTATTATCCAGTTTTTCTTTAAGCATGTATTTACAAACTTCAAGTAAGTTGTTTAATTTATCCAGTTTTTAACGTTACCATGAAATAAAAATTTTTGAATATTCGACGAATTCAAAAATTCTAAATCAGAAAGCAAAAGCTTCTTAGCAGAATTAAAATCCTCTGTATTAAACTTATCAGCAATAACGTTAATTAAACGGTTATTATCCAAATTTGCACCATTATTGAAAATAAAACACAACAATTCATTGACAATAACTTTTGCGGCCGCCATGTTAAGTTGTCAGGTGTATATGATATATATATATATATATATATATATTTTTTTTTTTTTTTTTTTGGTAACAGACTGTTGTTAATGCAACATTTCAAAAATTCAACACTACTTTCAACATTGTTCAACTTTTTTATATTTCTTTTTAATTTATTAATTTCAGAGAAATTAGACATTTATTGTTTTTTAAAAAATTTTTATTAAATAAATTTGCAAATAGCTATTTCGAGTTATAAATAACTCATCTTAATTTTTTTCATCTTTCAATATGTCATTTAATTTAGATAAATAAGTTTTATTGTTTAATATTACGTATAAATTAGATTTATCGGCTTTCAGTATTTTTATATTTTTATTAGTTTTTAAACTTTTAGCAGCAATTTTCATTTCGTTCGTCAACAATTTGCTATTACACGAATTTCGTCTTTTGTTAGATTCACTTAATAATTCATTGACTAATTGTTGATTTACTTTCACATTTCCTAATTGTTCTTGTTTCCAAATTTCATTTATCAACATCTCAATCTCAATATGTTTATTTATTTGTGGTTTGTTTTTTATGAGGTGACAATTTAAGCCGAGGTTCAAAAATTGTTTTTCATCTATTGTCAACTGATGGCTACTAAGATTAAGGAAATGATCTTGGTGTTGTGGCAACAAAACTGGTCCGTGATATAAATTGCTAAGTTTTTTCCTAATTCGTTGAAAACAATGGTCTCGATGGCGTTCTTTGATGAAGTTGATTTCATTTAACGATCTTTCATCAATTGAGTCACTTAAGAATTTTATTGACGCTTCCATATTTTTAAAAAGTTCTTCTTTTCTTGATAACTCATTCAAGAGTGATGTTTTTCTGTTTTTGATTTCTGCAGAAATACTCCGTGATTTAGTCTGGCGTGTTAATGTAAATTTTGGTAACAGACTGTTGTTAACGCAACATTCCAAAAATTCAACACTACTTTCAACATTGTTCAACTTTTTTATATTTCTTTTTAATTTATTAATTTCAGAGAAATTAGACATTTTATTGTTTTTTTAAAATTTTTATTAAATATATATATATATATATATATATATATATATATATATATATATATATATATATATATATATATGCAAATTTCGTTGAATATGTTTGCCCATTTTGCATTTATTAATTTCTTTGAAATTGAGTCAACACCATGTAATTGTTGCAATTCATATTCATTAAAAACGTTGTTAGCCACGACATGACACAAGTTTATATATAGACATATATATATTGTGGATTAAGACTGTCAGAAATGCAATCATTGATGAAAATCACAGCATGTTCGGCGTCAGTTAATTTTTTCATTTTTCTAACGGTTGATCTAGAATACACATTTGGGAAATCAACATTACATAGAATTTAGCGGCCGATAATATGATGGGCGACCGGGGGCCGTAATAATGCAGAACTATGATTTTGAGAAGCATAGATAGAAATCGTTTAATTTTCAACTATATATAGGTTACATAGAAAATAAACTGTATTGTTTTTTGCGACAAAATAATATAGCTTATATTTAATAAATATAACAGTAGAAATTATTTTTGAGACAATTAAAATATACAAAACAATTATTATATAAAGAAAACATACGAATCTCACCAAAAAATTGATTCAACTAGCGATTGAATAAATATTTGTTAAAATTAGTTTAGTCATTAATCAAAGCAGAAACCGAGTTATCTACTGAACTGTATTACGCTTTTAAATTGAATAACTTTATTGTATATTTATATTTTTCTACATACAATGAAAAACATTGAACAATCTAAAGTGTCTGAAGTTTTATTTACTTCTTTTGCACATTAACAAATTGTTTAAATCCGGAACCTGAATATTCAACGACTTGAATAAAATAAAGTACATTGACATCTTTTAGAATAGTTAGTGTCCGCATTCATATCAGCAAAATGTAATCAATTTTTTTTTATAAATAAAAATTGACTAGCAATAAAATCACTAAAGATAAACACTTATCACAATAAAAGCGGCCAGTAATAAAGAATGATATCTAAATAATACGATAGTTATATATATTTACATACATACATGTAGATATACATACATGTATAATCAATTCAATTCAATTTTATTCAGAAAAAAAACATGGAGACACAGAAGCTCAAACGAGCTTGTACGGCCACCCAAACACGTATAAACATATACCAACATGAAAATAACAACATAAATGAAAATAAAATCGTATAGCTAGCTAATGAAATCAAGTTAAATTAAACCAAAAATAAGCAGAAATTACTTAATTACAAAAATGACCATCCAAATTTATCAAGTTAAACAAAACAATTGAATTCATATAAAAAGTTTTTCTTTATAAAATAACTTAAATTAATGAAATAATTAAATCATATCCTGTAATAACAAGTTGTTCTTAATTAAGTCAAAAATCGATTTTTTAAATAGTTTATAGCTAGATATTTGTAAAACTACACACGGTAGTTTTGACCACAGTTTTAAAACAAAAACTAAAAATGAAAATAAAACAGTAGGAGGAACAATACAATTATATATATATATATTGCAGCAAAGGTAATATATTGTTTACTTATCGTCATTTTATTTTATATATTTTAATTAACTTATCATATTTTATTTATTCTAATTTATATTTTATACCACATATTCTTAATTACATTTCAACGTAATTTATTCTATTTCAATTTCATATATTAATACATTTTATAATTATTCAAAATACTCTAATGTATAAATATATTACTTAAGGCTCTGAAGATGGCGCTCACGCCGAAACAACGTTGTAAGCCGCACTATGAAACAACTGTTTAATAAATATAATTTAACCCAAATACGAAATGTTGAATCTATTGGTAAAAAACTAATCAACGCAAAATGGGCAAAAATATTTAATGAAGTTTGTATCGCTGAGAACCTCGTACCAATATATATATATATATATATATATATATATATATATATATATATATATATATATATATATATATATACATACATACATACATATATATGTAACGATGCGACTAATACGACTAATCTGGGTGTGATTTTTGATTCGAATCTAACAATGAAGCACCATATCAAGAGGGTTTCAAGAGATTGCATTTATCAGATTAGAAGATCTCTACGCTTCAGACGCTGGTTCATGCATTTGTTCACTCGAGAGTTGATTACTGCAACAGTTTGTATTATGGATTGCCGGACAAGTCCATCCGTGTACTGCAGTCTTTGCAAAATCGTCCGGCTAGGGTTGTGGTTGGCGGTCGATGGGATGATCATGTGACACCTTTACTTAAAGATTTGCACTGGCTAACTGTTGATAAAAGAATAATCTAAAAAATTTCTATTTTGATGTATAAGGTACTCAGAGGTAGTGCTCCAAAGTATCTGCAGGATAAGATCAACAGTGATTTGCCACGTCCGACCGGAATTTATCTAAGATCATTTGATATGAATCGGTTGATAGTTCCTGCTACAAATTTGTGTATTGGTTCACGAAGCTTTGCTGTTTCAGGACCGACTATCATGTAGGGTTGAAGGTAATCTGCTACAATGGATAAAAAATTGGCTGAAAGATAGGAGACAACAGGTGCAGATAAAAGGAATAAACTCGAAGTGGATGGACGTAACAAGTGGCGTGCCTCAGAGATTGGTATTGGGACCGCTATTAGTTGTGATATACATTAACGACATCGACGAAAGAATAGTCTCTAAAATTTCAAAGTTTTCAGATGATACCAAACTATGTGCGAAAGTCAACAACGATGAAGATGCGGAAATACTGCAAAAAGACCTAGCAAGACTGTACCAATGGTCCAAGGACTGGCAAATGCTGTTCGAGGTTGACAAATGTGCAGTCATGCACTTAGGAAGGAAGAACGCTAGGTATGAATATAAAATTGGTGAAAGGGAACTACGATCAACAGAGGAAGAAAAGGATCTAGGAATCATTGTTCATCAAAGCACAAAACCGTCAAGACAATGCACAGTGGCAGCGGCCAAAGCCAATACGATCTTAGGATTTATAAGAAGAACAATGGTCAGCAGAGAGAAGCGTATCATACTGAAACTGTACAAAACCTTAGTCTGACCTCATCTGGAGTACTGTGTTCAAGCATGGAGCCCATATATGCAAAAAGATAAAGAAGTTTTAGGAAAAATACACCGTAGAGCCACAAGAATGATTAGAGGAATCGGAAAAATGGAATACGATGAAAGATTGAAAAAATGTGACTTAACATCATTAGAAAAAAGAAGATGCAGAGGAGATCTATATGATATATATATATATATATATATATATATATATATATATATAAAATATATCTATCGAGTGGCAGTTTTCGTATTTCTCGATTATTTTGAGTTGATTTAGCAGTTTTTTTTAGCGTTTTTTTGTGGTAACGTTATTTGAGGTTGCGTTTAATTTGCTTAGATACGTTACTGAAAGTTTTCTTTTCTTGAATTTAGCTTAAAATATCGATTATTTTGTGAATTAAAATTTAATTTTAAATTAGAAATTTTTAATTAAATTCTGACCTCGTTTACTTGTCTCTAATTCGCTGGTAAAATAAGTTTACCTGCGTTGTTATGAAAATTGGTTAAACTCATAAGTTTACTCGCTTTGTTTTTTGGGTGTACATAATGAGTAACCGGGACAAACGTAAATGTAAAAATGTTGGTACCAAAGACTTAACACAATGTAGAAAGTGTGATTTGTATTATCACGAACTTTGTGCTGGTCTGCGATGTGCTCAATGTGAAGAGTTATTTCACTACAAGTGTTTGCAGATGACAAGCGAAAATTATGAATTTGAGAAGAATTGCTCCAACATAACTTTTAAATGTGACGATTGCGTCAATTGTTCACCATCTGTTGAGCAGCTAACAATAGATGTGAACAAAAATAATAAAGTCTTGTTGAAAGAATTAGGAAAATTACAAGAGATGAATGAAAATATCAAGTTTGAGATTAACGGTATCAAACTGAAAATTAACGCCGATAGTAATAAATCGTGTACGCTGGAAAAATCCAGAGTTGAATTGCGTGATGAAATGAAAAATTTCAAGAGTGAATTAAAGTCTTCATGGTCAGAGGTTGTCGGCCGCGAGGTGAAGAAAAACGTCGACGTAATAAATTTGGAGGTGAAGAAAAATGTTGAAGTAATTAACCCAGAAGTTAAATGTTTGTAGAAAACATTGAGTGATAGGGCAGAAAAAAAAGGAGCGTGAAAACAATGTGATGATATTCCGGCTGAAGGAGAGTGAGGCTGACAGAACAAATGTTTTCAAAATCCTAAACCATCTTTCTGACAATGTTATTGCAGATAAAAATGTCATCAAATTAATAAGAATTGGGAAGAAAAATGAAAATGTTGTCAGACCGATCTTGATAAAGTTTGATGATTTAAAGATCAAGGATTTACTGTTTAAAAATATATATAAACTGAAGACAATCGGTGATGATCTTGCTCAGGTAAGATTGAGTCATGATCTTACCAGAGAGCAGAGAATCAAATTAAAAACCGTCTTTGAGGAGGACCAGAAAAAGAATGCTGATGGTAAAGGAAATTTTTTATTTAAAGTCAGGGGAGAAGTGGGAAAGTGGCATGTGGTGCAAATACCAACAGGAAAGACATAGCTATAATGGGTGGTAGATTGGGTGCTAGATCGAATATGAGTGCATTGGTTGTTAGCAAGTGTAACTTAAAATATAAAAATAATTCTGGTAATTCTAAAGGGTTTGTGGTTTTCGACTTATTTAATATAAGATCTTTGGTCGGGAAAGTTGACAGTTTCTATGATTTGATTCATGAAGGATTGGATGTGCTGGTATTGACGGAAACATGGCATGGGTTAGTTGGGGACGTTGCAGTTGGTTTGGCCATGCCACCTGGGTGTTCCTTTGTTTCGTCCGGAGTACCTCAAGGTTCAGTGTTAGGGCCCATTCTGTTCTTGCTATACACATCGGACATAGCCAGGATGATTAATTCACATGGATTCACCTGCCACGCGTTCGCTGATGATGTTCAGATGATTGTTACTGGTCGGCCGCAAGTGTTTCATAGAGAGATTGAAAGGTTTGTCAGATGTTTGACCGATGTTGAACGCTGGATGTCCAGCAATTCGCTTAAGTTGAATCAGTGCAAAACCCAACTGCTCCCGGTTGGCACTTGACAGCAGTTGTCAAAGCTAGATATGCACTCGGTGGAAGTAAACAACATTGATATATTGTTTGGCACGACTGCATCCAATTTAAGAGTTTTGGTTGATTCTAATCTCACAATGAAAGAACTCATAAAAAACGTATCAGTTGCTAGTATGGCTCACATCAGGGGCTTGTACAGAGTCCGACTTTATTTAGACAGGAGTAGCATGGAAACATTAGTACACGCTCTCATAACACCCGGTCTCGACTACTGCAACAGTTTATTCTACAGGCTACCCCAGACGTCAGTAGCAGTTCTACCATCAATCCAGAATTGTGCGGCTAAACTAGTGGTAGGTGGGCTGTGATTCGAGCATGTTACGCCGATTTTGAATGATCTCCACTGGTTGACAATCAACAAAAGGATAATCTTCAAAATAGTCATAGTTTTCAAAACGTTAAATGGTCTGGCTCCAAAATATTTGTCTTGGAGATTTGTCAGGAAAACATCCACATCGAATTTCAGTTTGAGATCAGACTTTTGATAATACCAGTTAATCGTTTGCAAATAGGATTGCGTCACATTGCTGTTGCTGGCCCGATGGTTTGGAACGCTTTGCCGGACCTGGAAATTTTTTGAACAATTTTAAAAAAGAATTAAATACGCGTTTATTTTTTTTGTTATAACATTAAGCATTTTTCTTTAATCTTTCACTCGTATACTGTTTTATTTATGTGAGTGCTTTTGAGATTTTTTTATTTAATTAGCACTATATAAATGAACATTAATAATATATATATATATATTATGGATATGACAATTTTTAAAGACCCTATCCCCACGTTATTTTTTGTGGAGTTTTAATGCAAAGATCAAGAAAAATCCAATGGCAAGTGTCAACTTTAAAAAAATGTCACCCCTTTAATCGGGTGATCAAATTTTTAATCAAATTTATATATATATACAATTATACATTGTACAAAATGGTTTTTTTTAATCAGAAATACAAACATACAGGTTTTAGTGTTCATTTGTCAAAAGAAATTTAATGTTAATTTTTTCAATGCTTTTGCACAATGGAAGTAAATCCTGCAGAACTTTTATTGCACGTTCAGCACAAATGTTTGATCTTTGAGTTGGGATTGGAGTCGGCTCAACCGACCAAAAAGTCCTTAAAGTCTTTATTGCCTTTGAGTGATCTTTGCCAAATTTTTGTAGTTATCCTGATTATAAACCTGACCAGAAAACCAGATGTCACTCCACGTGCCAGTAATAAAGTCACATGATGACTGACCTTCGGCTGACTGTCGAAATTCTGGAAGTAAAATATAAACTAGCAAAGCATAGATTGCTCGGCTATTCTATCCTGCATTGCTTATATTTGGCAAAGTTCTGAAATTTATTTTAGGGAAGCTTCCTGTTTTCTTAAACTGTCTGTAACAAGTGATCAAGTGATGAAGGAAAGCCATATCATCTCTCCAAACAATTTCTTCTTTTTCCTTCAGAGCATCTGAATCTTGAGAACCACTGTCAGAATCTTGTTTTTCTTCTTCAGTGTTAAAATGTTCTTCATCTTTACTGCTTAAATCATCCTTAGTATCTTGACTGACTTTGCTGTTCTTAATCTTCACTGTTTAAATCATCCTTAGTATCTTGACTGACTTTTTGCTTAATCAACTTTAGTTTTCTAGGATGAACTCCTTGTGTATCTTCAATTGTGGTGCAGTAGCCAGCTCTACCATTTGTTGACATCTGAAGATTATAGAGGGCTTTATCTTCCTACACAACTATTCCCCATTTTCATCAGTTACGTTGAACAAGTTGGTAAAGTCTTGCGTTCCTGGTTTTCTGCTGTCTTTTTCATACTTGTTTAGTACATGCTCAGTTTTTCTTTCCACTGTAGATTTGCCTTTTTGAATTGGAAGATTCAGTTTTTTCCATAAGATTTTTACTTCTTTGACCACTATCACAACTCTCTCCTGTCTACTTTTCACATTTGCAGCCAAGCACTTAAATCTGTTCAGGATATGCTGTTTTGTTGGCATTTTGTTCATTTGATCAAGAATGTCAACAATCTTTGCATACTTTTTTGAATTTTTGGCTGTTTCAAATCTCACCAAATTTGATTCCCATAGTTTCTTATTCAAATCTGAAGGAAGACTATTTTTAGACATCTTGACTATAGTCCTGTCGAATTATAATTTGAGTGTAAATTTAATTATCTACAAATAAACAAATCTTATGAGTTTAGGTTATCAAAATAAGTTTATAAAATATCAAAAGTCAGGTGATGATAACAAATATAATATATAAGATGAAAGATTATGTAATAAGCATGCATACATTTAGCAAAATCACACCAGCAATAAACTGAAGCTGTGATACCTTAAACTGTACTGTATCTAACAATAGATAGATAGGAGAAAAC